TATAGTAATCTTGGGAGATGCCCTTTACTCCTCATAAAACTGTAATTCTAAAAAACAGGACATTTTTCTATGTCTCTTTTTTACCTGCTCAGTTTTTGGTAGAAAATTTAGGGAAGATTAATGTAGATTAGGGAAATTTTTAAGGAAGTGGGTACACTGGACCAATTACTTAATGATCAGGATGCAGTGAACTATCCCATATCATGATGCTTTCCTTCTTTTGATTACTTTGCAGTGAACACTTAAGGTTTTACAGACATATGGCTTAAAAACTTTCCTAAACTACATGAAAATCCAAGATATGTGGTGCCCAAATACATACAGACTATGGCCCTTCATATCCAAAAACTTATGATCACCCTGCTTTTATTTTTTATAGAGCCTTTCAAAAAAAAAAAAAACCATGAAAGCACACATTTCCATCTGGAACAAATGAATTATAAGGGTTGAAAATTATATTCATGAATCTGAATATAATGATCTGAAAATGGCACTATCAAAAAAATCCCATGAGGCTCATTTTGGTAATACAATTTACTTATAAGGGCTGAATCAACAACAACAAAAAATTGTGGTCTCATTTTAATGAAATAAAAGCAGAGAAATAAAAAAAAAGTGCATGCTCTCTTAAATTCTTGACTATATTGAACTTTAAACATTCCTATCATGTTTCAAAATAGATATAAATCCTATAGAGCATGCAATTCTTGCTTTTCAAAGTTTAAAAGACTAAACTGGAAAACTCATTAGCAGAATCAAATATGATGTGGGACTGCCCATCTCGCCTGACCATGCTATGGTGTGTCACACAATTCAGCAGAGAGCGGCTGGGCACATCCAGCACTTCCTTGCCATGGCAGGGGAAGGAACAGCTGAGTAGCATGCAGGCCAGTCAAAATTCACTTCGAAAGTGATTGTACATGTACAACTTGCTTGGGTAACCTGGGTAAAAGTGGTGGCACGAGCCTCTGGCTGGTTAAAAAACACCAGAGCTGCACTCTTGATGGCTCCAGCTTGATTTTACCCCTGTGAGAAGTAAGAACGGTAAGCAGTGAAGGTCACAGTATGATATTGCTAGGTTGTGCTTTGGAATTCAACTTCAGATACGATTCTTAAGAACATTTATTCCAAATCCTCACCTAGGAAGACAATGAAACCTTTTAAAAAACTAAACTGTAAAAATTCATAGTTCTATAAATATTCCAAGAAATCATGATAACGTGAACTTTAGAAATATAAAAACAAACAAAATTCTACTTTATATTTTGTCACAAGATTTGTATAATTCCAAGTTTTCCCAAGATAAAAAGATCACTATTTTGTAATTCAAACCTTTAATTCTCTTACATTTTTTCATGCAAAGCTTTGTATTTGTTTTCATACCAGCCTGTTTATGTTAGCGATCCATATAACACATATATTATAAAAATAACAACAGCATACTTTATCTCTAACAACTTTTAGGGGTCATCTCCCCAATTGCACTATAGCTAGATATATACTATTATGAAAATGAATGTAAGGAGTAGAGTGACTAGAGTTTTCAAATACCATCTAAGTTAATGATTAACTTACTGCCTCTTCTTAAAGCAGAATGTATTAAAAGTTTTTTAAATTACTTATTAATTTTTTAGTGAGAAATGTATCCCCCTGTTGGTTTAGTTTGTATGATTTTTTACTTTGTCAGCAAAAATAAAGGATATTCTTGCGCCTCAAAATATAGCTCAATGTTCTTTTTCTACTTACGGTCAAAAAACTAAGAAGCATGAACCAAAATGTTACTTTATGGTTATGTTATTTTTCACTTGTGTATATGTGTGTGTGCAATAGTTATTAAAAAAGAATAACCCAGGGGCGCCTGGGTGGCTCAGTCGTTGGGCGTCTGCTTTCGTGATCCCAGGGTCCTGGGATCGAGCCCCGCATCGGGCTCCCTGCTCGGCGGGAAGCCTGCTCTCCCTCTCCTGCTCCCCCTGCTTGTGTTCCCTCTCTCTCTGTGTCTCTCTCTGTCAAATAAATAAATAAAATCTTTAAAAAAAAAAAAAGAATAACCCAGCCTACATAAATATGCATCTGAAACATGACCTATGTTCAGTGCCAGCAGTTTTCAGAAATTTCAGGTTAAAACTGACCTTTCCTGGAATTTATCTAAGCCTACTGTATAATGTTAGAACATGCTGATTTTTTGTTTTTTATTTTTAAAAACATTGTACTTCTTATCTTTGTGTGAGCATATATGAGAATTGTCCTGTTACTTTTTCAGGGTTTTTTTTTTTTGGTACTAATTTTAAAAATCATCCATATAAAATTTATTGTTGAATTCATTTCTGCCATGTGAAATAATTTGAAATTTTATCCTAGCTTTATAAAAGTATTTAATTTTATATTTAGTTTGATAAATTTTCAGACTAATATATCTGCATATTTCAACAATTTCATTACACTCTATACTTGGATTCCATGAATCCAAAATTTAGCTTGGAGGAGGATAGAATGGTTATAGAAAGAGTCACCCAAAAAGGAATTTTGGCTCAGATGATAAAATGTTTTCTAGACATTGTGTCTCCGTATACCAAATTTATGATCTTCTAGCCATTAAAAAGGCATGACAATGAGGTGGTATTTTTCTAAGCAGTCATTTGAAATATCTGTAGGCATTACAGAATTTTTGAAATACTCTGGAAACCAACTTTTTGGGAGAAAGTAATTAAGATATTTAATTTCCGTAAATCCAACGTGATAAAACCTATGATACTAATGTAACAGAATTTCTGTACCTTTTTGGTTTTTCTGCCTCTTCTTGACCCTGTGCTAGTCTTGTCCCTAATCTTCCCTTATTTTCTCTTTATAATTACTTCTTTGGTAAGCTCCTCTATTTTTAAGAAATCAGATAATTATCCCATCTGTGTTTAAACCCTGATTTCTCATCCAGCCTCGCACCCCCAACACTGTCACTTCTAATTCAGTATATTCCAATTGAATTCTTCCCTTTTCCCACTTAAACCTAGTAACCTTCCTAAAAAGGCCATTTCAGAGAGTGGACTTACCATTTTTCCAATTTCCTAGTCTTCACTAGTTTGTCAAATTGCCCGAAGGTCTTAATGCCCATACATATTACCTTACCTTAGCCCAGAATTTCATCACCTCATTGCTATCAAATGATTGCTACCACATTCCTCAAGATAAACCCCTTCATCCCTCACTCTAAACTGTTTTACTCATTGTTATCAAATACTTTCCTTAAACATCACTTTCTTTTTGGCTTTCCCCTGCTTCAGAACAAATAGCTCTATATTGACTATGCAGGCCATTCAAAATTTTTCTACTTACTTCAAAGACTTTACAATCTGAAAATACCTGACTCACCCAAACAAATTTTCCACTATCTTCTCAACCAGTACTTTATTCATGCTGATTGTTCCACTGCTGCACCTTGATACCAAGCTCATTCTCAACTGTGGCTTTCCTTTGGTAGGGTTTTGCTTTGACTTTTTGATCATACATTTGACCCAAACTTGGAGGCCTATTTTAATTTTATCTCTTCTATTTAGCAACTTTCTGTGTTCTTGCTGTTTTTAATACCTATAATTTTATGTTCAGTCTGGCAGGATAAAACTTTTTAATAGGTCTCTAATGATTTTTGAGCTTCCTCAAAGATGGTGAGATTTCCCAAAGGGAGTTATATTATAGAGCTCTCCTTTAACTCTTTCTTACTCTTAGTATTCAGCAGAGTACTGAAGTTCACAAAAACTGCTCAATAATTGCTCATTAATTAGTTGATGTTTTTTCTTAAATAAATCTGTTAGTTGATGAAAAATAAAATTAGATTGAATTTTTATTTTATCAGAGTGAGCAATATATAAACTAGGTTTGAGCTCACTAAGTGGACTTTGAGTGGAATTCCAAGAATACTATATCTCATTTTGTATATGTTTTTACCTTTAAAAAATATTTCAAATTTACTATTATATCTCAGCAGTGCTGAAATGCCAGAAAGAAAGGATCAAGAGCTATGAGTTATGACATTCTCAACTACTTATTACTTATACAAATTCTATGGATACCATTCTTAAAAAGAGAAATTTTTTAAATATGCTCACAATATCAGACACCATCGGTCTGATTCCTGTGGTGCTAATATCATACCCTCAAGCTAAACTTTTATAACTCTGTGCTAGACTTACTTCCCGCTGGTATATTAGAAGTCCAAAAATAAGTAATAGTAAAAAATTTTAATCCTGTTCATAATGCAGAATTAATACATTAAGCTGCTATTATGGGATTCTATGAATTCTAATCATACAGTAAGAACAATTCCATTTCTTCTTTGTTTTATTTTGAACAACTAGTAATATATGTAAGAGCAGCTTTTCAACTTTTACCTCTTAACTGTAATCCTCAAGTGGAGCTTTTCTAAGTAGGTTTTAGCATTTTCAAGTTAATCTGGAACACTGTGGATTTGTTCATCCTTGACTGGGCAAAATGTAATCAGTGCTACTTGCACATTCCAAATATGTGTAACACTTTCATAAATGAATAACACTCTATCAGAGTCAGTAAAACTTTCAGAGGTGAACAAAAACTACGTAAAAGTTTCACATTAAAAAATGAGAGCAAAACCTAATATAGACAGTAAAGAGAAGACACTTTCACAACGATCAATAAAATATGGTTCATTGATATGTCTAAAGAGCATAATGCAGTGTATAGAATAGAATATATTAAATATGGCTTTTTTGGCAGGCCACATTTTTAGCTAGATTTTCAAACTATCAAGAAGATGAATATACAAATTATTCAGAATGATGATTTCCTTTGGAAAGTTGGAATTTCTATGAATGGATTTCCCAATAAAGAATATCTCATAATTTTCCAACACTGCTATATATATATGACTTTCAATATACTTTTTAATAATGCATGTAAACACAATAAAAATACTAAATAACCATAATGCATGGTTAGCATAGGAAATGCAACAAAAACTTTAAAAGCATTCTTACCTCTTTGCTTTCTTCTAGTTCTGACTCACTGCTAAACTCCTCAGTATTTAAGTTTTCAAAGTCAGACTCTCCAACAGCAATTGGCACTGTTACAGTGAGGCTGGGGTTGTTTATGAATGACATATAATCATTTTCATCGATTACATATTTTTCAACACTGCTTCCGGTACCTACACCACTGGTGGTTCCATTCCCATCTTTAAGATAATTAAGTTCTTTGCTTATTTCTATTCCAGTATTATTGGATATGCAGCTGTCTATTTTGTTGCCTTCATGGATCTCTATAACTTTTGACTTTCTAAAAAATGTTTTTCTGAAACACTCCCGTATCTTATTTTTCACATAATCAATTCCCTTTTGCATCCTTCCTACTGCAATCTGGAGATTGTTCATTTCATTATCATCATCGGTAGCAGCAAGATTGTCTGAGCTAAATGAGCTCAACAATAAGGCCAGAAAGAGGTTCAGAACCTAAATGAAAAAAAAAGAAAATTTGCTACATTAATATGAAGTATACATAAAATAATAAACAGGGAACTCATAGATCTTTGCTGAAATTAATTCAACAAATGCTTCTTGAATGCTTACTGTTTTTCAGACATGTGTCTGAATCACACACTATTTAAAGGACCTGACACCTTCTACCTGCTGTAAGGGCAATATGATAAAACAAGTGCCTGTTCTTTCATACCAAGAAGGACAACAGGAAACCAGAACTTCTAAGACTTAAAATTGTCTACTCAAGGTTGCCAGTGAAGAGACAAAAATCCCATTTTGATGGTTTTGGCCAATGAGAAAAAATTCTAGTCATTTTACTTCATGTTATCAGTTTGTCTAGAGAATGTCTAGCTTCATGTGTATAAATAATGAATTTATTTATTTGATAGCCTGGCGATATGTGTTAAAACAGTATACTTTTAATATAAATTCCTTTGTACAGTGGCCACAAATTTATAACAGCCGAAATTTTAAAATGCAAATTATGTAAGGTTAACACATTTCCCATCAAAGCAAGAGCCCTAGTTTGTTTCCTTATTTCTGTATCAGATTTTGGTCAGAATCTAGAGCTTCCTAATTTACCTTTCTGAAAAAATGCATGTCTACAGTTATCCCACAAACATTCTTTAAATCAGTCTTACTTGAAATGTACCTCAAAGGAAAGGTTAAGTTTGATGGCACGAAGACCACTACATACACACATAATTGAGAAATGTAAGCATTAAAACACATAAATATACAAATTGTACTTATACATTAGTGCTTTTAAGTAAGAACTAAAAGTAAGCTTCTTAAATCTGGTCAGTGTCCATACATGTAAATAACTTAAACTGCAGTAATTTATTTTCTTTTAATAAAGCAAATTCAGAGAAGGATATATTTTGTCCCCTTCCAAGTCATTTGAATAATTATAATACATGGCTACAATATAATACCCTAAAATTTATTGAAATTGATCTTCAAAATTTGGTAAAATGAAGCTTATGCTTCTGAGTAAGCCAACATGAACTATGAATGTGTAAAGAGCAATCTCAATATAGAATAGACAGTTATATTTTTAGATTTACTGGAGATGATTTTCTTCTCAAAGTAATAATAGGATAAAAAATAATTCAGGCCATAACGGTAGTACAGGGATAAAATTACTCTTCATAAAAACATTTCCTCAAAAAACAAAGAAAAACTAATATTTTTGCTCCCAAACTTTCACAAATACACTTCAGTTAATCCTCACACCAACCATAAGATTTCAGCTTTGTTATTCAACTTTCATAGTTGGGAAACTTCAGACTCAGAAGTTAAGTAACTTGCCCAAACTCAGAGTGCTAGTCCTGGGATTTAAGTCTGGGTTACTGATGATAAAACCAGAGCTATTTATTGCATCAGGCAACCTTCCTACCTACTGTCTGATCTTGTTCTTAATTATGAGCATTTGTAATATATACGTACCACAAGGTTTCCAATGACCATGACCAACATGAAAACAATAAGGCACATGGTTTGGCCAGCGACCTCCATACAGTCCCACATGGTCTCTATCCACTCTCCACACAGCACGCGGAACACAATCAGGAAGGAGTGGAAGAAGTCATGCATGTGCCAGCGTGGGAGCTCACAATCACTGGAGATCTTGCAGACACATTCTTTGTAGCTCTTACCAAATAGCTGCATGCCGACCACAGCAAAAATGAAGACGATGATGGCCAACACCAAGGTGAGGTTACCTAAAGCCCCCACAGAATTGCCAATGATCTTTATCAGCATATTCAGTGTGGGCCAGGATTTTGCCAGCTTGAAAACTCGAAGCTGTAATTAAGTGAAAAGATACTCTCAGTAGTAATCACAGTATAATTTTGGAAGTTAGTTAGACATTGTTTTATTATTATACCATAATGTAGACCTACCTCTGAGGGATATAAAATCTCAAACCATACTAAAATTCAAATAAAAAAATAGTTAATAATACACAAATTATAAATCAAATCATTAAATGCAAAAATAAAATAGGTCAGGATAAATAAAACATTTCTGATTCATCAACAGATATATCCCTGAAAACAAATTAATATTTTGATTAGCGACATTTAAATTGAATTGATTTTAGCAAACTAATGTCACCCTCAGCCTATATTTTAGAGTAAAAAATATTAAAAGTATGAGTTACATATTTTAACAGATATATAAAAAATAAAACTAAAATAAACAATTTGATAAAAAATAACTTACATAAAGGCTTCCTTTCAATTTGAAAAAATATACATTTTACTTAATTTCCAATAAAATTTTATATATTTTTAAATAAATTTTTTTGTCAAATTTAAAAAAGTTTGTTAGACCATTGTTTAAAATGCTAATGGTATCAAATATTTCCCTACATGTTCCTTTAAAGTAGTTCCCACTAATATAAGTAAGATTGAAAAAAGCTAAGGTTAATTGAGGCCTAAAATTGTTATTTGCATTTCTTTATAGAGTTGAAGCAAAAAAAATTTTTGAGTGAATTTAAAACGTAATCTGAGGCACATGTGTATTTTTAAATATGCCCTAGATAGCTAATCATTATGAAGTGTTTCAACCATTTTTATCATTCTTAGAAAATAGTCACACTTAGCTTTAAAGAGAATGTTTATATATCTTCCTAGAGTATCATGTGTATTGGTGTAGATTTAAAATATTAATAGTAAATGTAAGCTACACATTGATGCATTTTCAAAATAAATTTTATGCCACTGATAGAATATAAACATAGTCTAAGTAGATACCAGTCTGAATGATCTCAGTACAGACAATCCCTCCACATTTGCCAGGCCAAGCTCCATCAAACTAAGGCTGACAATAATCCCATCAAATATATTCCAGCCTTCTTGGAAATAATAATATGGATCCATGGCAATGATCTTGAGAACCATTTCTGCTGTGAAGATCCCAGTGAAAACCTAAAGTAAAATAGAGATCACAAACACTGAAAAACTTTTGACACTGCAAGAATCTGTAAAGAATATTAAATAGTCCTGAGTAAAAATATTTAACATTGAAAATGGAGAAATGTGACAAATTGATATAAGTTTAACATTTTTTTCCAGGAGAGTATTTTAAGTGGATTTGTTTTATTTAACAAATATGCTTGATATTTCAAGAAAATGCTGATTTTAAAACATTTCCTCATTCACATAAATAAATAAAAAATCTCATAGTGAGTAGTAACCACTGAATTACTGCTCTTTTTGGTACACCAGCCTTCTCTTATAATCACAGTGAATTTTGGTTTTAGTATTATTGCATTAGGAATGAATCTACATGTTAATTGAAGTTACTCTAAATTTATTTTAAATTTGGTAAAAACCATATTTTATTCTTGATCTTTGTGGGTTTTTAAAGGGACACCATCTTATTTCTGTAATTTTATAAATATTCCTGAAATAAGAGTGAGTTTGCCACAAATGTTTTATGATAATATTCTCTGGATGCATGCCTCACAATTAAGGTTAATGGACTGATAGAGCAAGGAGCTGCAGATTTAATTGAAAGCAGCAGGAGAACATGTTCAGTATGCATACACCCATAATTAAAATTAATAAGTTATTTGAATGGTTGGATGAATGTCTGTTTGACAATAGAAATAAAATGAAACAAATTCAAAATTTGTTTTTTAACTCAGAACCACAGGCTAAGAGACCCAAGGGCATGAAGAGTTATGAAATTACTCTTGCAAAAAATCTTTTAAAGCAAATATCCTAATTAACAATAAGTAAAAGCTGCATTTTATAACTATAAAGTCAAGCTTACCATTTACAAGGTAAATCAGCCTTTACCTTGAAGGAACTCTGTCAAAATAACGGTATCAAAGTTATTTAATTTTCCTAAAATATCATGTTAATTAAAAGAAATCATTATCTACTCTTAAAAATGTATAAATGCCGCTAACATAGGGGCGTCTGGGTGGTTCAATCAGTTAAGCACCCGACAGCTCACGTCATGATCTCAGGGTCCTGGTAGAGGCAGAACCCCCCACCCCTCCGACTCCGAGCTCAGCAGGGAGTCGGCTTGAGGATTTCTCTCCCTCTACCCCTTCCCCCACGCACGCTCTTTCTCTCTCTCTCTCTCAAATACATAAACTTAAAGAAGAAATAAATGCAGTAATGTATTATTTTCATCAATATAGAAAGACCTTAGGGAAATACCCATCCCAGAAAAAATAGCTCAACTTCAGTTCATCATTCATTCACTCAAGTAGAAATAAAATGTTTTTCAAGTAATCCTAGTGCATGCAAATCCGGATATATGGTGGAATACACACTGAAAATTATTTCTTTTTTATTTTATAGAATGACTCACCATAGGATTTTTTCCCCTGGTGAATTTAAAATAAATTCTGATTTAGAGAAATTTTATTTCTTATACTAAGTCTCAGAAGCAGCTGTTTGAATTAGCAACCTGATCATAGGGTTACATTAAACCGAGGTAGAAACTATCCAGGTAACTCATCTATAAATATTCCTTTCTACAGAAATATCATAGGGTGGTCTTTTCAGCTCTTCTGAAATGACCAGATCTCCTACATTATAAAAACCTATACCTTAAATGTACATTCTTTCATCTAAAATGTAATCCCAACATGAAACTCCTTTTTAAAAATAATATTTTAATTATTATTTGCATTTAAAATTATATTTATTTATATCTTTAAATATTTTCAATTTAGGCCCTAAAAATCATTGGTATTGTTTTTTGGTACATTTTAGTCTAGTTTAAACTGCAATGTCAGTGATTACGAGTTTTTTAAAAATTCCTTCTCATTCTAGCAAAAGTCAGTCCAACATACTGATTTAATGCCTTTGTTTATATGAGTTTTAAATTCCATCAAAAATTCTAAGAACAAAAAGAACTGGCAACCTCTGGATTTGTATCAGATTATGTACATCCCATGTATGGTTTATAAAAGTGCTAATGTGTGGTTTATAAACATACATTCAGCTGCCTTTGAATTTTCTATAACAAAGAATTTTTAAGATTCAAGACAATAAAAAACATATCAAATGTTTATTGTTTGGATTTAGCCTAATTCTGTCTTGTTTTCTTGAAGAAGCTTTTTGTCTTTTGAAACTTTGGGTTATATGCTTCTGTAGCCACTCATTCATTTGGGAAAAAACTGCTGAACACCTAAATGGAAGACATTTTGCTGGTCTTTGAAAATATAGTAATAATTAAGATATACAAACCTGAGACTGCATAAACCTAGTTCATTTAGCCTGATAAATTTCTTATGGACAATGAATTTATAGGCTTCCTAAGCCAGCTTCTTTAGTGAGGAGATAAGTTCAGTGAAAAGTTCCTAACCTATTGTACATGATGACACATGATAAATAGCAAAAGTGTAAGTGCTAAGGATGGAGATGAGAATCAGCCTGGGAGTCTGGACCAAGAATAAAGAAATTCGGAGCATTTTGAGTTGTTTTGGGGGGCACAACACTTAGGATGATCAAATATTGAGGAATAAGGTCTTATTTCAGGAATGGGAAGGTTTTCCTGTTGAATATTTACTTAGGAAAGTTCTGTTGATGTACATTAAAAGGAGAAATGTTCATTCTAAAGGCTGAATATTGGTCAGTTTGCTCTACAGAACCTCTACTTGCCCAGATTGATGATTTATTTTTTTTGTAGTGAATTTGATGTAACTGTAGTCTACTTTTGCTGTATTATTATTATTAGCTTCTTGTTTTAATGGTTTTAGTTTTATTATTCCCATGCCTTTTGGATATACATCTTTAAATATTTTTTGTTGTTGTTGTTGATTGGGTGGGGAAGGTAAAATTGAAATATACTTAAAGAAAAATCATGGGAAATAATTTAACATTTATGGTGTTCTTTTCTCTCATCTGTCAAATGGGGATATTCATTGAGATGACTCATAAGGTCTGCATCTAAAATTCTTGGATTTCTGTTGACATTGTATTGTCTACCAAATTTTATTCAGCAATAATTGTATACACACAATTACACAAGACCCTCATTATAAATTGTTAGTTTGGAGACAAGATAGCTTTATATGATAGTAGGAAAGGAATTCGATGGATAGATAGCACTCTTTCATTGATGCAGGATGCCTCCAGGTGAATTTTAGGATTCGGCTCCTAAGTGTTTTATCCGTCAATAAACAAGAGTTATTTTTTTTCCTTCAAAGAGTTATCATGTCCCTTTCCTGAGATTTTAAGTTCATACCCTGTACCACACCATTTAATTGAAATAATTTCCCTAATTGTGTTTCTTTAGGCTTTTATTTGCAAATGACCTATAAGATCCTTAGTACAGGTACCATATTCTGAATTCCCTTCAGGGTCCAGCAGAATAAGGGTATATCATGGACTCTTAATCACTGGTTACAATGAGAATTATAGTAAGAAAAGTAATCAGTGTAGGAGCTACAAACCTCTATCTGTATTCCCTGAAGAAAGAGTTACCAGTTAGTTGGGAATGTTTGTATGATAGAGAGGTTGTCTAACCTACCATGATTGATGGAAGATTTCTTGCTTATAAAATCTCTAAGGTGGGGGCGCCTGGGTGGCTCAGTTAGTTAAGCAACTGCCTTCGGCTCAGGTCATGATCCTGGAGTCCCGGGATCGAGTCCCACATCGGGCTCCCTGCTCAGCAGGGAGTCTGCTTCTCCCTCTGGCCCTCTTCCCTCTCGTGCTCTCTCTCTTTCATTCTCTCTCTCTCAAATAAATAAATAAAAAATCTTTAAAAAAAATAAAATCTCTAAGGTAGGTGCATGGGTTTTATAATGGTTAAAACAAAAACAAAAAAGAGCATCTTAGAGAAACTCAACAGATATTTGAGGTCTTCTGATACTCAAATTTGATCAGTCAATCCAATTAGTAGAGAAGTGATGTAATTTTTATGTGCTCCAGAAACAGGATACAAATGGGGCACATTGATCTAAGTAAACCTGAAAGTTCCAGAAGTCTTTTACAGGATGTTCCTTTGTTAACAATTCAACCCAAACCTAGATGTCCTATTTATAAGGTATTATGTAATCATTTGAGTAGTAATAACTACTCCATAGAAAGTAAATTTATTTAAAAGAGCAGACTATAAACTCCACAAAATATGCAATGCAACCGTCCATGGTGTATAGTATAGTCCAAAGTCAGCTAAGTACCCATGTTATAAGAAATATATTCTCTCCCTCTTCCTCTTCCTCTCTTTTTCTTTTTCTCTTTCTATGTCTGTCTCTCTATATATTGATTTTTTTACATATTATTTACATATAAACATATAATTTTCTATACATAAATATTATAAAGCTTGTTATGGGTATAAAATAAGATATGGGAAACTATGAAATGCCTTATACATATGATATTATTATTAATAACAGGAGCTCTCAGCTAATAGAAATAGTTTACACATTTTCCTACTCTTACGGTTAGAAATAGTTAACTCAGGTCTGTTTCCTATCATGTGCACTCTCTGTCTTGATGAGCGTTGTATCCCCATTGCTAACCTCAGCTTATCAATGATTTTACCGCAATCTGTCAGTCATCAGTCTTCCACCCTTCTTCTGTACCTCATTATCTCCATTGCTACACATTAAGTTACAGAATTTTGGAACTGGAAGGGACTTGAAAAATCATCTAGTTTAATACATTCTACTCATTAGAAAAGAGACCTAAATATTTAAATGGTTTTTTCAAGAGCACCCGGTTATTTAGCATGGACTTTTGGACTTGAAACCAGATTTGGCTCTTTAGTCTAGTGCTTTTCCATTTGATCATCCTATAATCCAACCTCTCTTATCCTGTGCTTCCAAACTCTAGTGCTTCAACATTGGAATTCTATAAAACCTGAATTTCCTGCTTCACTCTGGCAAATTTCCAAAATTTCTTCCTAACTCTTCAACTTCCCCAACTGTTCAGTATCTTGGGAAAAATACAGGAGCTAGAGCAAAACTATTTTCCATCAGTATTTCAGAGAAAGGTTAATAGCATAGATTAGAGGAAGGAAATTGTTTATTGAGCACATGCTAGATGCCAGGCTCAGTATTGTTTTCATATTTCCTCATTCGGCCTTCACAACAACTCCGGGAGATGGGTATCATTATATCCATGTCAAAATAGAAAACAAGGACTCAGATTTTTTATCAGACTTGTCCAGATGCTACATTATTAGTAAGCATTGACAACGAGGCCAAACCCAGTTCCACCCAACTCCAAAGCCCATATTCTTTCATGAAAACATGCTACTTTAAACAGCCCATTTGGGTAGGAAACAACCAGTTGGTTATTTATTGAACTACAACCATGTAATCATTATAGGAGATACAAAGGAAAAATGGGACATAACCTTGAAGAATATGAAGAATTGAGATGAGGTGATTTGAGTCAGAACACTCTAAATGTGAATGTAGGAAACAGTGAAATATTTTCCCATATGTAATTGTATAAACATGTGGTGTTTGTGTGGTACAGTGACATGGCTGTTCTGATGGGCCAATAGTGGCTGATTATGGACAATAAGATCATATAGGAAGGATAGGATCAGATGGGGAGTCTTGAAAATCAGATAAGACTGTTGAACCATAAATACAGATGATAGATACTTTACCAAAGTGCAAACATACTGAATGCAGAAGGTTAAAAATATTATTTTAATCATAGTTATAAGATTAAAAATGAGGTACCTTGAAAGAAGAATTAATGGATCTTCGTATCAGCTTATATATAAAAAATAAAGGAAAAGTAAGTAAAAATGGCTATCAGATTTCTATCTTTGAAGTTGGAAGGCTCTTTGAAGCTGGGAGGCTACTACTAGAGGTAACATAAGACTGAACTGAGATAGTTAGGACTTTCAATAAGTTGTGAGAAAGATGATCTTTCAGCTGTCACATATTATGTTTAAAGTTATCCTTAACGTTCTGTAACAGTTGGAAATACAGGACCAGGGCACAGCTTATACCACAAGAGTAGATAATTCCTATAGTTATTGAGTACATAGAAACATTGAGTGGAAAACATAGCCTTAGTAGACATAAGAAGTCCAGAAAAGAAGGAGTGATTGGAAAGATCAAGGAACAATCATTAAAAAAAAAAAAATCCATTTATAAGTGCCAAAGATGAAGGAAATCTCAAGAATCTGGTAGGTGTTCTACTAAGTCAAATAATGGAGTAAAGTTGAGGTCACTTATGGGGTAAACATTTATGTAATTGTCTGCCAAGTATTCCCTTTTCAACTTTTGTTGGGAATTGCTCCTCCACCTGTTTGATTCCTCAGGTCTGTCATGTTTTCACATGGCTCCACCTTCTGCCTCTGATTAAACCAGAGGTGAGCATCTGACTTAAGCTATGCCAAACGAGAGTCCTATCCTGAGTCTTTAAACTAGAACTAAAAAAGAGATAGAGTTTTTTTTTTCTGGTGTAGAGGTTACAAGATCTAAAACCAGTGAGCTATGACTGAGCATGTTTCCTGACCCAGAGACAAAAGATGAAGTGAACATTTGGCCTACATCCAAGCTCTTGGTTAAAGCATTTCCTGAAGCCCAACTGCAAAATTACCCTTTATATGGTTTGGTAGTTCATCTTTTTTTTTCCATTCTAGGAGTCAATTTTTTTTTTTATTTTCCCCTTAAGTTAGTTTGAGTTTGTTTCCATTTTGTGCCAAAAAGGAAGCTCTCTTGATTAATCCTTTTTTTACTTGTTTATACATTTCAATTTTCTCATATAAAGGAGGAAATGTACATGTCAGCATACACATACATAGATGTCTGCTCAAATAATTTGAACCAAAAGTATGGCTAAATTACAAATGCCATTTCACCAACTATTTCTTCTCTTGTGTGAATACTACTGAAGCATTTTATTAGGTAATTCAATTTGAAACAGCTATGTCCTCTTTTATACAGAAATAAATCTTTATATATTTCCTTTAATCGACACGATTTCTTCAGAGGCTGTGTATATTAAAACTGTATTTTTGTGGAACCAGAATTAGATATTATGGTTTTTCTGGACCTATATTTCAGCAAGAATGACAGTAAAAATTTTAATGAGCCTACAACTGGTAAGACACCATGGTCAATTAGCAAGGACATTGGTCTGAACAATCAGCATTCATACCAGTTGAATTTTAGATCTTATTGCCTACACAGCACAAATGGATTTTTTCTTTGGTCTATATCTCCCACCCCTACCAAAGGAAATAAGTAAACTTCAAATGAACTTACCAAGTTTCCTACAGTCAATACACTACTGAATTGACCAGTCATTGGGTAGTGCTCCATGGCCATAAAGAGGGTATTTAAGACAATGCAAATAGTGATGGCAAGATCAACAAATGGATCCATAACAATTAAATTCACAAGACGCTTTACTTTTAACCATGCATCACAGCAGTCCCAGATCAAAAACACATTGGCAAATCTGTACCAGCATGGTGGACATTTCTGTCTAGATTCTTCAAGTTCTAGGGGGATAATAAAAAGGGAGAGTAGTAAAGAACAATAAAAATGAATTATTGTTGCTATAGATTATACATTATTTTATACAATCAATGCTTCTACCTGGGGATGGAAGTTCATATTACTTAGCTTAACAAACTTGAGAAGACAATCCCATTAAATATTTTCACAAAATATTCATTAAAAATTTCATATAAACATATAAACATCTTTCTCCTTTAATTAAATATAGAAAATAAACACCTTCATTTAATATTTTGCTTCAAATTAACTAACTTTATTACCTAATAACTAGGTAATTATTGATTATATTGCCATATTCTTTTTATCAAAACAATTTTTATTTTATCTTATTTATTTTTTTAGATTTTATTTATTTCTTTGAGAGAGACGGGAGAGCATGAGCAGAGAGAGGGAGAAGCAGACTCCCTGCTGAGCAGGGAGCTGGATGCTGGGCTAGATCCCAGGATCCTGAAATCATGACCTGAGCTGAAAGCAGATGCTTAACTGACTGAGCCACCCAGATGCTCCAAAACAATTTTTAAATAAGCTTTACAGAAATATTAAATGTATCAAACACTTATTATTTCTTTTGAAAGTATCTATTTAAGAAAACTGTCTAAAGCTATGATCCTTATTAATGTGTGCGACCAATTCTGTCTTCTGATGTCTTCACATTAGCATTAATCTTGCACACAATGAGAATGTAGTATGTTCTTTTTAGTATAGATTCAAACCCATATCTACTTTTGTTATTCATATTTACTCATATCTTTCAGAATTTTAACATAAAATATTTTTCAAAGTTGCCAGTAATTTTAATGGGTGAAACCTGTTGTAATTATTATGTGACTGTTCATATATCATACATGCCAACAGGACAAGATACAAAATATATCTGATATTTTCTAAAGAACACATATTACACATGTTAAATCTATTTATATAAAAGACTTATAAAATTACAGAACTAATGTAATATTCCTCCAAACTTCATGAAGTGGAGAATTATTTAATGAATGAATAGGGGAGTATTAGTTGCTGCCCGTTCCCATGGGTCAAAATCAGCAAGCATTTGTGTAAGCTCTCCTTTGGAGTAATGTAATGGTTTCTGTGTGTGTGGAAGATGAAGAGATCATTTTTTAGGGTCAGTGTTGAACACAGGTTTTCATTTGTTCAGTTCATTCACATGCCTCCCCCAACCACATCACTGCCTCCCTGCCTGGAGAACATACTAAAGCTTGAAAGAGATGTTTCCTCGTGCTTTTACAGACCAAGACTTAAGAAGGGAGGTGTATATTCTAATTGTTTAGGGATAATGTAACATAATGATAAAAACTCACTGACATAATATGGAGTGGGGAAATATCACTCTGCAGACAAGATAAGGAGTTAAAAAGAAAAGGAACAGTATTAGTTTTTGTAACCAGTGTGATAATACTGTATTTTATATATCATCTACTTAGACAGTTCTGATCTTGGGTAATTGACTTTGGTAATTCTATGAGAAGAAATAGTCCCAAAAAGCATATAATCATGTAAAGCTGACTATTCCCATGTCCTGCTTCTTACCCTCCATTGTGTTGGTCAGGATGCTAGCTATGCTCATGGCTCTTTGCCTTCCAGAGGAATCCTCCAGCATCTCCATTGAAATCTGGTAAGAACTTAGCCTTCTCTTTCTGACTTCCGTTTCAGTGGTGGTGCCCTGCAAACCAAATACTGATGGTTCAAACCACCCTTTCAATGAATAATACAACACCACATAGCATTTCTTTGGATGGTCATGCTACATGCAGTTTCTCCAGGTAGTAACTTTCAAGTAATAATAAAATACTGAGCTTATTATTAAGTTATAAACACTTTTTAAAAAAATTGTCACAGGTGATAGTGTTTAACAAGAATTCACCAGTTAGATGCAACTGTATAGGGCAATTTTGTTGCAGGAATGTTTTAATTAACCTGTTGGAATTTTCAGAGAAGTTTTCGTAAGCATGCTAAAGTCATATATTGTTCCATTTCACTCAAATGCAGATTATTTTCAGCTTATCTCAATGATTAATAATCAGATCAGTCTTCTCCCCCCAAAATAATAGGATTATAATGTTGCGAAGCTGAATTGTTTTCTTTGAAGCTGTATTGACAATATTGACATATATGGGCCAATTTTTTTCCATGCACAAACACAGATGTACAATGAAATGTGTGTGCTTTCCTGAGATTTCTTTGATTATTTCTATATGCCATCCTATAAGAAATCAAAACATTTTAGAGTCATTTTAATACACATCAAAACATTTTAGCATCCCTGTAATATCGATATATGTATGGAAACTGCCTATTATCAATATATATTGTCAATATATCAGTATATATTATCAATATATTGGTCATGATAATACTTAATTTTAAGTATATTAAATTTCCAGAATTTGAATAAAAAATTATATAATTCGGTGTGAGCACACATTTATAATAACAATTTGGTTGTCACAGTGCCCATTATTTTGTGTTGGTAGGTCTACTGAATTTGCAGATATGTTTTCTCTTGGACTCTAAAAACTCTAAGGCATTTGAAAGCTAATGGTCCCAAACAATTCAATTGGTTCTAAAGATTTATTATTTTTCATTCAAAAAATCATATATTATTTCTGAGGCATTTCATTTTGGGGAAGCAGGATGGTGTAACAGGCTAAACTGCCCAGGCTTCGATTATTTCAAATTGGTGTATAATGTCAGTAGTAGCTAACTTATCTATTATCACCTCTGGCAGAAGTTGTCCAGTAGGTGAGGTTAGAGCTGACGGTCCACCCACCAAGGAAACCACACCATTGCAATCCACAGTGCTGTGCATCTTCCCATTTGCTGGAAGCCCTGGCACCATCCTGGATGACATACTGGCCTGACTAACGTTACTGTTGCGTCGCTCTCCGTGTCTGTGCGGCACAAACAGTGAGTCTCTCCTGCTCTCGCTGTCTTCAAATGTACTGTGCTCATCATCAGCAAAGTCATTTTCAGAACCGACGTCCTTTGCGCGACCTCTGAAGCTGAAAATGCTTGTTTTGCTGTTGCGTCGTGGGGAAAACAAGGAGCCACGGATACTTAACAGAGACTGAGGAGAGAGCAAGGAAGAAAGGAATTGGGAGGGGGGCGGGGAAACACAGTTACGTAACAGAAGTCTTAATATTGCAGAATCTGTTTGCATTTGGATTAGAATAGTCTTGCTCTTAAACACAGGTAATCAAGTTTATAGATAACACATATGTTTTGATATTTTTATTAAAGACCACAATGCAAATTTAAGTAGAAAGAGTGTTTTTTTCTGATTAGGAATCCTAATTTGCAATTTGCTAAGTGCACAACCATTTCATTTGATCTTAACTCTAATACTGTGAGGTGGATTTTGTTATAATGTTATAGGTGTGGAACGTGATGCTAGAAAGGACAAATAATTCTTTTTGGAGAAGTGGTGGTTAAACAAATAGTAGATGGCTTTTACTCCGAAATGCTATGATCTGAAGGGCATGCAACTTGGAAAATAAATTATGGCTCAAGAGAGATTGTTGGCTCAAATTTAAAATATCTGTACCAAATGCGTTACTTCTAGATAATGACTTAAAAACAAAACTATTATCTCTCTGTTCTCTTCTTTTGAATTCTAAAAGGAAATTAGTTTACTCTTTTTCTGGATCTGTTTATCTCTGTCCACGTGGGAATAAAAGTCATGAAACTTACCTATGATGCTGTCTTCCATAATTGCTAATAGTTTCCCAAATAGCTACTAGTGATTCACCTTAAGAGAATATATGTCATAACAAACACAACAGAGAGAATTCCTAAAGTGCCATATAAATTGCTATTACTTAAAATTCAACACTGGATTAAAAAAGCAAGACATATGTACATGACTTTACCGAAGAGGGTGATGCAGAAAACAGCTTATTCTTCAGATCTCACTTTAATTTTATTAAAAGTAACTGGATGATTCAAAACTTTTTTATTACATATATTCACAAATAAATTGAGTAAATGGTTTCTGGTACTAGAAAATGAAGATTTAGCATGAAATCCATTCTTTCACCTTTTGAATGAATTTTAAACTAGCGGCACCAAATATGTCTATTCTAGCCTTGGTCATAGTTTTCAAAAACATCTCTATTCAGTCTGTGGAATCTTTGTTTACTCTCCTCATCGTTAACAATGACGTTCTCCATTGCTCCCCTCTGCTTGGACTCTTGTGACCTCTCCTACCTGTCTTCATAGCCAGGGTTATATATATATATGTATACGTGCATGTTTATATGTATATATACCTACATATGTATATATACGTACACACACATATGCATACATATCCATGTGACCACAGCAAACATTCCTGTACCTTTCCATTCTTCTTCCAAACTTCAGTATAAAGCCAAATAAAATAATTTTAGTGGGAAAAAACATAGGAAAGGCAGACTCCATCAAATTTATTTTTGGATCCTCTGCCTAGTTAGGTCATGCTCATTTTCTTAGGCCCCATTTTTAGCTTTATTTTTATGGCTTTTCCCAGACTGCAAAGCACCAGAATAATCATGTTGCCCTCTGTCATAGTGATGTTCTGGAAAGATAGTATTCATTAAGAAATGTGCTGTTGCTTTGGACATAGACTATCCAGCTTGTCCAACCCAAGACTGTGCTTTTGTGACACTTAGCTTGCACACAGTTGGCTACCCAATGTCAGACAGTAGCTAGACTGATTTTCTAGTTAATCAAAGTGATCAAGAAATCAGGTATCATGAAGACTTAAACTCAACCCCCAGTAATAAAGAATGTTAGTGTTTTAATTTCCTTAGACTCAATTTTAATTCTCAATATAATACTGGTCATTATCAGACTTGTGTTTCAAAACTTTAGTGTGTATTTTTAGGTCCCAGTTTTTTTGTTTGTTTGTTTGTTTTGTTTTGTTTTTTATTTGACTTGGGATTCAGTAAGTAGGGAATAGGACTCTGGAATCTGAATATTCAACACACATTCCAGGTGATTCTAATGCAGGTACCAGAAGAATACTAACTTTGTCTTGCATTAACCCCTAGGATGGTTCAATGTAATCATCTTAATATACCTATGTTCAGCGACTGTCTTTGGAAACTGAGAATCAGTCTGTACTATACTGGTTGAGAGTATATGGTATGTGTGCATGTTTATAATGTATCTGGTACATGCCTTTAATTTGAATGTTTTTATGTTGGGGTGTTTTCAAAGGCATTCCAGAATTTTGACTTTTATTTGAAACTTCTGTTCACTCTTTGGAAAGTATAATAATGGGTGTGAGCACAGCTTTCAAAGCAACAGAGACTGAAAAAGAAGATACCAAAAATAGTATTCAGAGAAAATAAACCAAAAATAACACACTAGAAGATGCAGCAAAGTGGAGGGAATACCCACAGCTGTGGCAGTCCTTTCTCTAAGGAAAACAAGCTTTTATGCTTTAAGGACCTCAAGGCCATTTTTCTTTGCTTCAGGCATGACAAAACATGAATCCCAGGTATCTTTATTTTTTTTGCCTTATTCCAAGAAGGTAAATATGAACTTTCTCTCTTATAATTTTTGTTAACAACAGGGAAAATAGAAGAAATTAGGTCTGTAAAACACAATCCTGCAGGTAGGGATTGAACTTGAAGTCAACTGGGAAAAGTCCAGATGGAAGATGATGCAGAGAATATAAAGATGTTCTCGTGGAAAAATGTAAAGTGAGTATTGGAAATACTCAATAGCATTTCAAGTTAACTGTGTGGACCTATCAGTGTTTTCAATAAATCAACAACTATACTTGGTTATAGCAACAAACCTGGTTTAAAAGAAATTGTCTCGGTGTGTTCAAACAACATAGCTAAAATCTTTGGAGGGGATTCACTTCCCATTGTACACCCTTAAGTACCTTTTCATGTTGTACTATGAACATGGTTTATCTATTTGAAGATAAAGTAATGTAATAAATGTAAAATAACATTTAAAAATTTATATTAGTAGAGGGCTGGGTACCCATAATTGGTGGCTTCCCTGCCTTGACATTTTCAGAAGATAAATTTGTTTTGAACTCATGCCATGTCCATCTTCTGCTTCCTATTCCTACTACCCTTGCTGATTCTCTTTACTATCACAGAGCCCTTTTTTGTTTATACAACCAGAAATTGTAAACAGCTTCTGGTATATTTTTGTTTATGAGTTGTGTTAATGCTCCCTGCCTGTTTTTACTGGGATTTGTAAATATCAGTGTTAATAGGATCTTTCTTTTACTTTTGAAATATCTCCCATCTGTCTGTCCATTTATCTACCTACCTACTATCTATCTACAAATACTATAAAATGAACTACATATAACATACGTATATACTGATTCTGTTTTTAGTGTTAAAACTCTGGCTGCCACCTAATTTCTCTCTGCTCTTGCCTCTCTGTGGTTCACTCAACACAAGCCTCCCAGCTGCTCCTTGAGCATTCCAGGCATACTGCCGTGGCAGGGCTTTACACTTGGCTCTTCCGTGAGTCTGGGATGCTCTTCAATGAGATAGTCTCTTCCTTTGCCTCCTGAAAAATCTTTGCTTAAATGTCTCCTTTACAGTGAGGACTTCCCAAACCACCCTATTTAAAATTTTTACATCCACTTAGTGCTCCTGATCCCCTTTTCATGATTTGCTTATATTTTCCCATAGCACTCATCACCTTCTAACATAGTCTGTAACTTATTTATCTTGTTTATTGTCTGGCTTCTTCTTTAATGTAAATTTCCATGATGTCACAAAGTGTTTTCATTTTCTAGAACTATTTCTGCCACATAGTAGGTGGTCAATAAATATTCGTTGATTGGCTAAATCCAGTTTCTATTAGAGCACAGTGATGAAACAGTGATGGAAACAATACTGTTTTCAAAAACATATAAATATGCTCATGTAAATATTGCTACTGTGCAAACACCTATGTGATAATTGCAACTACTCAAGTTTTTAGTTTCCCTCATTTGGAATCATTCACCAATTTTAACTTAAGAACTTTACTATTTGTCACATAAGGTTTCTATATATTGCTTAATCTCTCACAACTCTTTAAGGTAGACATTATTACCCCCTTTTACAGAAATCTTACAAAAATACAAGTCGCTTGAGTAGGGTAACAGAACTCACTTGGGAGTTGAGATATGAACACAAGCTTCTGTGACCTCAGTCATTATGGTATAGTGTCAAATACACCTAATCCTAATGACTCCTAATAGACCTAATAATGCTAAAATATCAAGGTAACAGTTTAAGCCAAAAGAATCTGGTCAGGGAAACTAACTTGCCCAGTAGAGCTTCCAGTTAATCCCAAATGTGTGGTACTTATTTAAACCATACTTTATATTTGTTTTATGCAAGATAATAATTAGATCTCTTGATATTGGCATTATCTGGAGGAAAATGGTTTTTATCTTTTAACTTCTCATGTGTGCACATCCATTTTTTCCCACTGTGAGAATTCAAGTTATTAATATGGAGTTTATTTTTTTTAAATTTTAGTTACATATTCAGTACAAATGATAAAAGAAACACCCATTGATAACTTTCATATGCTCTTTCCTCCCAACCAAGAGCTGAACACTATGCTGAATTTGTGCTTATCACTCCAATTTTTAAAAAAGTTTTTGTTCTTTATAAGAAGGATATCATACCTCTTGGTTGATATATAGTTTTTTGCTTTATCTTAATTATATAGTGTCCCTCAAAGCATATTTTTAGGGTATAATTCTGACCCAGATTAATATGATTAGAGAGTTAATAATTCATGGCACATGAAATTCTATTGGAACCAAAGAGTGTTCAAAGTCATAACTGTACTTATCACAGATTTCATAATTATTTACTCTTTACATTATGCAACCCATAAACTCTATTAACAAACAGAGTTAAAACTACTTTCCCTCTTTGACTTGAAAATATGCTGAAGAACTCTGTAGTTGGCATTAAGTCAGAGCAAAAATAGACTGTCTTCAATTTAGGTCTCTTCCAAGAGCATTTAGGTCATCATTTCATTCTAATGTCTCATAGCATGACACCATGTCAGCATAATGGAGACTTATGACAGCATGGTTCACATATCAAAAGATCAAGGCAAAATCCAGAGACATTTCTTTTCAAAATTCATGCATATGTGGCAATTACAACCTCAGATAATAAAAGCAGATACCCATATGCAAAGATAATAAGTTCATTTGAGGTCTCAAAATGAAAAAGGTAAACAAGAGATTGCAAACTCTCACTGAAGAGAGAAGTCTGATAGGTAAGTTTTACCCTCCTTACCCCCCAAAAAACAGAAAATGAAGAAACATGGCCTCAAAATAGAGTATGTTTAAAGCTGATTGCCTTAAAAGTTATTATGGTTTAATAAAAGTCTCTTTTAAAGACAGCGTATGATACAAATTAAATAATCATGTTAAATGTTAGTTCCTTGTCCCTCATTTATATCAGATATTACAAAAATATACCAAAACAAAATACAGTAATTACAAAGCAATAGCAATGACAGAACAAACTGGAGCACTTCATAGAAAACCATACCTGATGAGGGGAGTAGAATTTCTTGTCACTAGTCAGTCTGTTTCCATCCATGGAGAAAAGGAAGCTTCTCCTTTTGACACTGTCCTCAGATTCAGATTTGGGAAACCTGTCTCCCTCTCCTTTGTTGTTTCCTTCAAGATGCTCCCTTTGTCTTCTTTTCTTCCTCCGGTTCCTCCACTCCTTAGCACTTTTAGAACTTAACTTTGATGCCTCTGAAGAACTTTCCAGGAGCTCTCCTAACCCACCTATTCCACTGAAATCTCTTGAAGCAGCTGATGCTGCAGCAACTGCCTGTTTAAGACAAAGCCAGGCACTGCTTACAACAAGCAATTTTGGAAACAGTTGACTATGGTACAAATGTTGCCATTAAGACTACTAACTATAGGTAAACATTGTGTCTTCTGGTCATTTCATTGTGTCTTAGAGAGTTTATTTAATAATGACAGTTTAAAACAGTATAAAGCAATATGCTAACCTATGCATTAAGGCAGGAAAAATCTGGTTTGACACATCTCTTGGAGAGTCTTAAAAAAAAAAAACAACTCTTTTGAGATTAGCTTCATTTTCAAGGAAAATTTCTCCCTTAAAAATATCTTCTACATTTTAAAAGCAAATGTTCTCTTAGTGGTGGTTGCTGGTCTGATTACTATTCCAATTCCATCCACAGGCTTGTTCTTCCCCACATGTGATTGTGAACAACCGAGTGTTATTTTTTCCTTCTAAATCTAGGTCTAAAACTTCTTCTTTTCCCTTTTTGTGAACTCAAAGAATTTAAAGTATCTATTATTTTACCACTAGATAGAAGTAGTGGGAAGATATTGGCTAGTTTGTCCTCTTCCTCCATTTGAATTACACTTATTACTATAGTTCACATCCCTGGGGTTATGTTAATTCCAGAGTTAACATGATTAATTTATTACATAGCACTTTTAGCTTTAAATTTTTTAATGTTTATAAATTATCTATTATAAATAATAACAACTGATTAACATATCAATCAATAAGTACCTGAAATAATCATTTAAGGGATTATAAGATCTTCTTTAAATATTTTCTTTTTATGTTTCAGCACTAAGTATATTTAATCATTTTGAATTTCTGCATATACTAAAGAAACAACCAGCTCTAAGGTAAAGCATGGCAAATTGTTTTGTAGTGAATCGTATTTTTAGACTGGAAGTGATCTAACCATGACTAGAGGATATGAAACAGTGATATAGTTCCTATCAAAGCTGAGTTCTCACTAAGTATATTCCTGTTTTTAAATATCATCACGGAAGTGGAAATGATTAAATTATGAGAATACTGGTTCAATTCTTTACATATGTCATTACTAAATACAAATAACTCTAATTTATCTACCCGTTTTGTTTTATTTTCTCTACTAGATATACGGTAGGTAGGAATTTTGTCAAATGCATTTGTACACATTGCCTAGTATGTCACCTGACATAAAAAGTGTCCAGTAAGTGTTTGGTGAATAAAGATGAAAAAGGCATTCTGTCAATTGTCTCAGACACTGGGGTGGGTGAAGAATAAGACATATATAGACTTGAATTTTCAAGATATTGTAAAAAACTATGTGTCAGAATGGTCTGTATAACAGAAACATTTTAGGAAAGAAGATAAAATTTATAATGAGTATGACAACATGTGCTTTTTGTTTTTTTCTTCCTGAGGGGAAGCAAACCCTCCACAGTAGCTTCCATTTCTGAATCTCATCTCAACACATTACAAAGAAAAAAAAAGGTTTAAAACTAAAGGTGCTATAAATACAAATTCTCTAGGATTGTCATGATCCCAGGGATGGGAACCATAGTACTACATATAGTATTAAATATGTGTTGGGCTAAGCAATGTAAAATGTACATAAAATGTAAAACAGATATTTGTTTATATTGAATACTATATTCAATTTAAGACTCAGTATAAGACAATGCCTAGCAATTAAATGGAACAGTAATTCAGAATTTGGGTATTTATGGAATTATATACAGTCGTATAACCAGATTTTGTATTTAATTCTTGATTATTATTATCACATTTAATGTAAGTAGTAGAAGATGAGAAATATTAAAGGCCTTTTGTAAAGATGAATGAGGCTAATGTAAATATATATAAAATAAAGTGAATAAACGAGGCACTTATTTGTAGCAAGTTAAATACAGTTGCTTAGTGCTTGATACATAGAAGATACATAATGTAGAGCACGTGTTGAAAGAATGAATATACATATATTTATTTTTATCCAGATAAAGCCCCTAATTATTCTTTCCACTTTGTATACACAGTAACACAGTGCAACACATAGCGTTAATCATTTATTGACTTGTTTGTAGTTAGAAATGAAGTGGTGGTAATATTCCTTTGCCATAATCCTGAAACTCATGTTCATTTAAATCACTTCCGGAATTTGTTTTGCATAAGACATAATTTCCCTACCTATTCTGGATAACTGTACGAATAACTCAAAACTAAAGCATTTGTAAGGCAACAGTGGTAACCTCCCGACACAACACATTTTCTGTGTCACTCATCAACTCAATCTGTCATTGTTCCACTGCCAGTGATTTGCCGATTCCCTCAAAGGCAGATGTTTCCTGTCACCTCTTATGTCTGTGTACCTGTTTCTACCCATCTCTGTGATAAGACCAATGTCCTGCTTACTTAGACTAAGAGTATTGCTTTCACTGGCTTGATGAATTCCTCTTTTTTTAAAAAAAATTATTTATGTAAAAGAGAGAGAGAGAAAGAGCAAGTGCACAAGCAGGGGGAGCAGCAGAAGGGGAGGGAGAAGCAGACTCCCTGCTGAGCAGGGAGCCTGATATGGGGCTCAATTCCTCTTGTAACAAATAACAAATATATGCTTAATATTTACTCAAGGAGTAACATTTCGTTCTTCTTATAACATTTCTGTGTGATTCAATGTAAGCTCTATAACTCACTGTATTTATGTGTCCTTAAGAAATGAAGCTGCGTGACTGCTTGTAATTACACTTCACTTTAAAACATAAATCCAGTTTAAAAAACCCATTCAGAATCACAAGACATTAACTATAATACCTATTTCAATTTTACCTCTAATGACATTGGCTCTCTTAAATGCCAATATTTCTAATTTTGTCCCAAAGCTTCCTATTAAATTTTTCCTATCAGAGTTGTATACACTGCTATGGGATATGCTGTCTTGGGCACCATTAGGCATTTAAAGATCACAAATTAAATGGCAAGCACAGTTATGATGATTCAGTGTAAAACATTTTTTTTTTTTTGGTTGGGTTTTGTCTTCAATCATCCTTTAAAGTTACACTTGATTTGTGAGTTCACTGAGCTTACTGTTACTTTTTCACGTCTAAACAATGACTAGCTTTAGGAGGTCCTTCAACAGATACTAATGAAAATGGAAGAGATGCTAGGCCTCATGAAGTCATTGGCTAGATGATACCTTTGAAGAGTGACAGGTGGTTAGCAAGACATAAGTTACAGTGGGTGGAGCACCAATGATCTCATGGGTAGACTATGTCTCCCTCTCTGTCTGCTTCCAACACCTTCTTCTGTTTCAGTATTGGCTATTTACTGGGCATTGTTACCTGTGTTCTCAATAAGGAGGTAAAATTGGATTGGTACTGTGTCATCCCAGTCCAAATTAAAACACTGGGATCATTTACCCTAGGATCAGTTTAAATTTTTGTACCTATGAAGCTAAAGCTGAGGCAAATCATGACTTGATCACTGGAATTCAGTAACAGACTTTTAAGTGAAAAAGATGCACATTTTTTAGTTGACCTAATTAGGATGTAGATAATTAGATTCTTTAAACTTCTAATAGACATTGTGCTCTTTTACTTATAAATTTGAAAGATTCTACTCTTTTAATTGATGCTATATTTTACCCTAAAGTGGCTGAATTTCAGAATGTACTCTTACTTCTGTACTATATATCTATATAGTATTTTCAAGCACATTGCTTTGTCTGTTTTTATAAATGATAATAGAATAATCCAATGCTATAAAATACATTTATGTACAATCTACAAATATTATTTCCCATATTCATTTAAAACTTTGAAATAAATAATTTGCCCTGTAAATAGATAACATATTTCATTATCTTATAAATGTTTTATTTATAGTGATCTGAAATAAACTCTTAAGTACTTGAAATGTAGTAGGACTTTCTGCCAAGCATGAGGTATATTTTAAGTATCACCAAACTTATTTAAAGCTTTCCTTATTAAATCACTAAAATATAGCCATGATACTGCTATGTACCCAATGGTAAGAGGAGAATAGCAAAGCTAGCATGTTTAACAAATGCTAAGAATGTGGTTGGGCTGGGTTACCAGCTAAACAGTTCATTGTCAAATCCCTGTCTCACCAAAAAATGCCTCAAAGAAAAGGACTTAATGCTATATGTTGTGCATCTTCAAATTAACTCAGAATTATTAAAAACTTAAATTTTGACTCTGCCCATTGAATCTATAAATCTGTCATTCAAATAATGCTTTAAATATCTGGAACTGTCCATCTGAAAAAAAAACCCACTATGTATCAAAAAGTCACTATGTACAAAAGTTGTTTGGACTACTGCTCCTGGCTAAAAGATATAGTAACAGGGATTCGCTGTCCCTCCTGAAAGAACCACTAAAACAGACAAAATACATGTAACACTGGTTTTGAAGACACTGCATTAATGGTACATTGGGTAGAGTGTTCAAAAGGATCTTAACTCAGTGGTAGGGAATAGTTAGCCCTAAACTAGATGCTCTGCTAGTTCTACCTAACAAATCTTCAAAGGTTTTGAGATGGAAAAGTATCAAGCTGTTTATAAGTAATGTAACTAATGTCCCCAAATAAGGATCAAGGATTTTTATAGGAATACAAACATATCCAGCACTGCAAAAGGTAAAATTAACAGTGTCTTGAATTCAATTGAAAATTGTCAAGAATGCAAAAAAAAAATCAGAAATATATGGCCAGTAATTAGGAAAAAATTTAATTAAAACTGATCAAGATCTGACACAGACATTAGAATTAGAAGGAAAGGACTTTAATTACTATAACAATATTGTGTATGTTCAAAATGCTAGAGACATGGGAAATATAAAAGAGACTCAGATCAAGGTTTTAGAGATGAAAACTACAAAAACTGAGATGAAAAATGCACTGGATAGGATTAATAGTTTAGCAGACATTACAGAAGAAAAGATGATAAACTTGAAGACATAGCAACAGAAACTAATGGAACGGAAATTGACAAGGTAATTCTAAAAGTCCTATGAAGCTGGAAAGGACTTAGAATTGTTAGAACAGCTTTGGAAAAAAAAATAGAGAGCTATAACTATCTGATTTCAAGATTTATTAAACAGCTACAGTAATAAAGAGAATGTGTATTGCTGTAAAGAGAAACAAATCAATTGAACAGAACAGAATAAACAAATCCCATTCACATCTGGACAACTGATTTTTGACAAGGTTCAAAGGCAATTTAGTGGAGAAAGAATATTTTGTTCAACAAATGGTGCTGCCCCAGTCAGAATGGCTAAAATTAACAAGTCAGGAAATGACAGATGTTGGCGAGGATGCAGAGAAAGGGGAACCCTCTTATACTGTTGGTGGGAATGCAAGCTGGTGCAGTCACTCTGGAAAACAGTATGGAGATTCCTCAAAAAGTTGAAAATAGAGCTACTCTACAACCCAGCAATTGCATTACTAGGTATTTACCTTAAAGATATAAATGTAGTGATCTGAAGGGGTACCTGCACCCCAATGTTTATAGTAGCATTGTCCACAGTAGCCAAACTATAGAAAGAGCCCAGATGTCTATCGACAGATGAATGGATAAAGAATATATATATACATATATAATGCAATACTACTCAGCCATCAAAAAAAGAAAAAAAAAGAAATCTTGCCATTTGCAGATGGGTGGAACTAGAGGGTATTATGCTAAGCAAAAAAAGCCAATCAGAGAAAGACAGTTATCCTATAATCTCACTGATATGTGGAACGTAAGAAACAAAACAGAGGATCATAGGGGAAAGAGAGGAAAAAATAAAACAAGATGAAATCAGAGAGGGAGACAAACCATAAGAGGCTCTTAATCATAGGAAACAAACTGAAGGTTGCTGGCGGGGAGGCGGGTAGACAGATGGGGTAACTGGGTGACAGACATTAAGGAGGGCATGTGATGTAATGAGCACTGGGTGTTATATAAGACTGATGAATAACTGACCTGTACCTCTGAAACCAGTAATACATTATATGTTAATTAATTGAATTCAAATTTAAAAAAGAAAAACAACAACAAAAACAAATGGTAATGTAGTAATTTGATATCCATATGCAAAAAAAATTTCAACATATAAATTACACCTTACACAAAACTTAACCGAAGATGGGTCATTGACCTAAATATAAAACATGAAACTATAAAGCTTTTAGGAATAAAAATAGGAAATCTTTATGATGTTGATTTGGCAAAAATAAATACAACACCAAAAGCATGACCAAACAAACAAACAAACCTGATAAAGTATACTTTGTCCAAATTTAATTTTTATCCGAAAATACTATTAGGAGAATGAAATGACAAGTTACAGATTAGGAGAAAATATCTGCAAAGCATATATATCATCAAGGACTAAAGGAGGATATATAACGACTACTCGAAACTCAAGAAAACAAAATGGGCAAAAGATTTAAACATCTGCTTCACAATAGGAGCTACACAGATAGAAAATAACATGAAAATCTGCTCAACATCATTGGTCATTAAGAAAATGCAGAATAAAACAATGAGGCACTTAGTAGAATGGCTAATAAGACTGACAATACCGAGTATGGATAAAGATGTAGAGGAACTCTTACTACCATGAGTCAGATTTTACTGTCTTCCCATGATTTTCACCTTCAATTTATGTGGTTTTTTTTCCTTTTAAGCAAATACTGTTCTGTCTCTTCCCTCAAGACTTGAATGCCCCATTCACTATGCCCTGAGCTCAAATAGCCTTTCAATATTAATGAGAATTTAAAGTTGTCATCTAATGCAGATGCTTTCCTGATATCCTGATAGGGGCTGTAGCAAACACCTTTTATGCTACAGAAACCCCAAAGAATGGTTAAGAGTAGGTATACATAACGTTTTCTTGTTAACATTTGAGATCAATTAACTTCAGAATAAAACCTTAAATGTTATAAATAGGGGAGAAACATGAATCGTTGGAAATATCAGTTATGCATCTTTTCACATTAAACTGAATGTCAGATTCTCCCCTCAGGTTTCATGAGACACTTTCATAGTTTACTTTATCTTGAATGTGTTTTCTACCCCAAAGTAATTTGTTTATATATAATGTCAAAAAGTTCCTTTGATCTCAACTTCAGAAATAATTTTAGGTTTGAATAGCTTTCTCTTATTTCTAATGATAATGCCTATATACCAAATGAAAAGCTGGTTTGACCTCTATGCTACAGCACTATTCCTACTTAAAACTTACAGTAATAATAACAGTAACAATAATAATAAAACTTTGCTTATTATCACTCAGTACCTGAGCTTCTTCCTGTTGCTTTTTAAGCTGTTCCAGCATTTGCTGAAATTCAGCCTCTTTCTGTTCTGCCTCTTCCAAGGTGGCCTGATTCTGTTCCTCATAGGCCATGGCCACCACAGCCAGGATCAAATTCACCAAATAGAAAGATCCCAAGAAAATCACCAGGACAAAAAATATCATGTATGTTTTTCCAGCAGCACGTAATGTCTAGGGGAAACAAAGGATAATTTCATCAGTATTTTATATAATGTCCCCAAATAAAGATTTGATTTCCATAACTAGGTAGTGAGGAGATGAATACTTTTTAGGATCCAGTGTATTTTGACCAAGATTTGTTTGCTGTTAAAATGAACACGTGTAAGTGCATGCATACATGTGCACACACACATAAATAACATTTAAATTAATCTGAACCTTGACTGTAGTGTCATTTGATACAAACACACATTTCAAATTAGTATATATTGGATATATATATACAAAACCCTATGAAAATCTTAGAGTCCATAATGGGGGGCACTATTAACAAATAAGAACACTACCTTTAATTCCTTTCAATGAAGTTCTACTTCCATGGCAGCCTATACTACACCATCTAAAGATAACATCTTTCTTTCTCTTTTTCTAGCCCCTAACCATGGGTTTAACTTGAAATTTTTTATGTAATTGATTTTTAAGTATTTTCACATGTTCTTTTTATATCTACAATTAGATTATGAACTCAAAGCCATGAACATTCTTTCCATCTTCCATAGTTCCTAGCAGAATATCCTTCATATAAGAAGTTTTTACTGTACATGTACTGACTGAATGAACAGTTGGGATTCTAGGCATACTTGCTTTGTACTGGACCCTCCTCTGTATTCTAGAGTCTTATTAACAAGTATCGATACTTGTCAGTTCATATATGTTCATAAAATTAAATCTCACACATGTTAATTTGAACCTTACTGCTGTGGTCTGAATGCTTGTGTCTCCCCAAAATTCCTAAGTTGAAAATCTAGTGCCCAATGTACTAGTATTAGAAGATGGGGCCTTTGGGAGGTGATTAGATGGTGAAGGTGGAGCTGTCATGAATGGGATTAGTGACTTATAAAAAGAACCTCCAGAGAGATCCCTAGCCCCTTCTAAGCAGATGATGACACAGCAAGAAGATGTTAGCTCATGAACCAATAAGGGGCTTTTGCCAGAATGAAGCCATGCTGGCATCTTGATCTTAAACTTCCCAGTCTCCAGAACTATAAGCCATACACTTCTGTAATTTATAAGCTATCCAGGCTGTGGTATATTGTTGTAGCAGCCCTAAGGGATTAAGACACTTACCAACTGGTAAAGGTTCTCCCAGTAGTCTTGAGTCATGAGCCGAAATAGAGACAAGAAAGCCCAACTAAAGGTATCAAAGCTTGTGTATCCATAGTTGGGGTTTCGACCAGCCTTCACACAGATGTATCCTTCTGGACACTGGCTGTAAGAGAGAGAAATGGTGCTAGCGGCAGGTTGGCAATTATTGCCATTTCAATTGATGTTGATGTAAAGGAATTGTCAAAACCCAGGGTTGCTGTCTATGATGGATTTTCTTGCCTTCATTTCCAGAGCACTTTAGGTAATTGCTTACAGTGATACTGTTATTAGATGAAATTTATTGGGAAAACCAATAGAAAACTGGGATGCAAGGAGTCAGATTTGCAGACATTTAGAATGGCAAAGGGGCAGCAACCACACACTTTTGCCTCTGACTTCATCACTGTCTTGCTCTTTACAAAGTGGCAAGAATCAATAATTAAAAATGAAAGGCCCGAAAACAAAGGGTAGGGAATCACTTAATGAGCTACTTCAGTAGGTGCTTCTGTAGAACTTTATAAAATAAAGCTTATATTTTAGAATATTTGAGATTTACAGAAAAATTACAAAGAGAGCCCAGAATAAATGCCCCATTTCCATGCTCACTTCCCTCTATTGTTAATATGTTAGTATGGTACATTTCAATCAATATTGATACATTATTATTAACCAAAGTTCATACTTCATTCAGATTTCCTCAGTTTTTCCCTAATATCTTTTTTTATGTTCTTCAATTGTTCTTTTTTAATTTTTTTTATTTTATTATGTTAATCACCATACCTCATTAGTTTTTGGTGTAGTGTTCCATGATTCATTGTTTGCCTATAACACCTAGTGCTCCATTCAACACGTGCCCTCTTTACTACCCATCACCAGGCTAACCCATCCCCCACCCCCCTCCCCCGATAGTCTCTCATAGTTCGTTTCCCTCTCCAATTTCCCCCCTTCATTTTTCCCTTCCTACTATCTTCTTTTTTTTTTCACATATAATGTATTATTTGTTTCAGGGGTACAGGACTGTGATCCAACGGTCTTACATAATTCACAGCGCTCACCATAGCACATACCCTCCCCAGTATCTATCACCCAGACACCCCATCCCTCCCACCCCCCACCACTCCAGCAAACCCTAATATCGTTTTATGTTTCAGGATCCCATTCAGGATACTATATTACATTTAGTCACCATGTCATTTTAGGATCCTCCTGATAAAGTTTCTCAGACTTTCCTTGTTTTTGATTATCTTGATAGTTTTAGGAATACTTTCAGGTATTTTGAAGAATGTCTTTCAAATGGAATTTGTCTGACATTTTTCTCATGATTAGATTGGGGATGGATTTTTAGGGAGGTAAAATATCATTATTGTCACATCATATGAAGGGTACATATGATCAATATGACTTATCACTGTTGATAACTAACTTTTGTCACCTAATTGGAGGTAATGTTTGTCAGGTTTCTCCACTCTACATTTACTCTTTTTTCCCCCCATACTGCATTCTTTGGATAAAAGTCACTATGTGCAGCCCACACATTAGGATCCACCTTCTTAAGAGTAGAGCATTTACAGAGATTATTTGGAATTCTTTTGCATGGGGGATTTGTCTATTATCTCTCATTTATTTATTTATTTCCTTTTCAATTATTTCTTTATATGAGTAGGTACTCATGATATTCATTTCATACTTTGAATTCTAGTTTAATTGTTTTATTTATTTTGTTGCTAAAATTGTTCCAGTTTTAGCCATTGGGAGCTTTTCCATTGACTCCTGTATCTCTTTGATGTAACCCTATGGTTCTGTGTGTTTTGTTTTTGTTTGTTTTTTAGCACTTCCTTACTTTGTGGCACTACAAGATGCTTCAGACTTATCTTTTATATTTCCTACTCTAGAATCGGCGATTTCTCCAAAAAGTCCTTGTTCTTTTATTGGAGAACAGTATTAGAACCCAGGACAAGTGTGTGTGTGTGTGTGTGTGTGTGTGTGTGTGTGTGTGTGTACACATATATCTCCTTGCTTTGTCAACTGAGGAACTAGAAGCAATGACACTGCCTTAGCAATAAACATAGCACCCAGATCTGGCTTCTAATAACACATATGTGTCTATGTGTATGTAAACATCTGTACCTCTATTAAGCTAAACAGGAGGTAATACTGTCTCCAACCCTATTTCATCACCTCATGATATCATTCTAGACTCCTACCTTTGTGTATCTATAACTTCTCATTCCAAAAGTGGCTGGCTTCTATCATCTACTATCTATATGCTTAATTGTTCAATACTAGTATACATGGATAGTTGTTTCAGGATTGCTAATCCATACTAGCATGGGAAACAACATTATCAACTAGAGTACAGTTTTTTTTTTTTGCCTTTGCCTTACACACTCCACTTCCAAAGTTGTTTAGATCAACACTTATTCTCCTACTCCTTCAGTGAGGTTATTTTATACATTATAAATATATTTGTATCCCTTTGTTACATTCTGTTTTTCAACTGGGGATACCCCAACCATACAAATGCTTTTTTTTATTTGCATACACTGTTAACTCTTTGTACTGTTAAGTTCTATGAGTTTTGACAAATGCTTAATGCTCACCATTACAGAATCATACAAAGTTTTTCCACCCTAAAGAATCCCCCATGTGTCACCCAGTCAACCCCCTACCCTGAACCCTTGAAAAACACTGATTTTTTTTTATCATTTCTATTGTTTATCTTTTTCAGAATGTCATGTAATTCGAATCAGACAAATATAGGTTTTTCAGATGGGCTTCTTTTCATGTATTAATATGTATTTAAGGTTCATCAATGTCTTTTTGTGCTTGATAGCTCATTTTCTTTCTTTTTTAAAAAAAGATTTTATTTATTTATTTGTCAGAGAGAGAGAGAGAGCACACAAGCATGGGGAGCGGTAGGCAGAGGGAGAAGCAGGCTCCCCGCCGAGCAGGGAGCCTGATGTGGGACTCGATCCCAGGATCCCGGGATCATGACCTGAGCCGAAGGCAGATGCTTAACCAACTGAGCGTCCCTCATTTTCTTTTTATTACTGAATAATATCCATTCACTGGGATAAATACATCACAGTTATCCATTCACCTGTTGTGGGACATCTTGATTGTTTCCAGTTCTTGTGATTATGAATACAACTGTTATAAATACTCACATGTATGTTCAAGTTAATTGGCTAAATATCTAGTAGGGAAATTGCTGGATCATATGGTTAGACTGTGTTTATTTTGTAAGAAACTGCCAAATTGTCTTACAAAATTGTTGCACTATTTTGCATTGCCTCCAGCAATGAATGAGAATTCCTGTTGTTCTGCATCCTCACCAGCAGTTGGTATTACCAGTTTTTTTGGATTTTAGCCATTCTAATAGGTATATAGTAGTAACTCATTGCTGTTTTAATTTTCAATTCCCTAATGACAAATGATGTTTAGCATCTTTATATATCTTTATTAGCCATCTGTATATATTCTTTTGTAGGGTGTCCAGATTTTTGCCTATTTTTAAATTGAGTTATTTGTTTTCTTTTTGTTGAGTTTTAAGAGTGCTTTGTATAGTTTGGATACAAGTCTTTTTTTCAGATAAATATTTTGCAAACATTTTCTCCCAATTATGGCTTGTTTTCTCATTCCCTTTATAGTATCTCTGCAAAGCAGAAGTTTTTAATTTTAATTAAGATTTTTTCTTTCCTGGATTGGGTTATTGGTGTTTAAAACTTATCACTAAATCTGAAGTCATGTAAATTTTATTCTCTGCTTTCTTAAAGAAGTTTTATGGTTTTGTATTTTAAATTTAGGTCTGTGGTTGATTTTTCTTTTCTGGTGTTTATTTATTTATTTATTTTTATTATGTTAATCACCATACATTACATCATTAGTTTTTGATGTAGTGTTCCACTATTCATTGTTGTCTATAGCACCCAGTGCTCCATGCAGAACGTGCCCTCTTTAATACTCATCACCAGGCTAACCCATCCCCCACCCCCTCCCCCTAGAACCCTCAGTTTGTTTCTCAGAGTCCATAGTCTCTCATGGTTCATCTCCCCCTCCGATTTCCCCCCCTTCATTCTTCCCTTCCTGCTATCTTCTTCTTCTTCTTCTTCTTCTTCTTCTTCTTCTTCTTCTTCTTCTTTTTTAACATCTAATGTATTATTTGTTTCAGAGGTACAGGTCTGTGATTCAGCAGTCTTACACAATTCACAGCGCTCACCATAGCACATACCCTCCCCAATGTCTATCACCCAGCCACGATTTTGAATTAGTTCTTGTGTAAGGTGTGAGATCTGTATCTAGGTTCATTTCTTTGCATATGGATTTCCAATTGCTTCAGCCCGATTTGTTCGAAAAACTTTCCTGTCGCCATTGAATTGAATTTTCCTCTGTCAAAAATTAGTTGATTACATTTGTGTAGGTCTATTTTTTTTGGGGGGGTGTCTGTTCTGTTTCATTGATACTATTTATCTATTCCTTCCCCATACCATACTGTCTTCATTACTGTATTCTTATAGGAAGTCTTGAAGTTAGGTAGTTTCTTTAGAATTTTATTTGATATTTAACAAGAGTGGCTATCAATTTTACCATGTAAATCACCTAACCCTTACTAAGTACTCAATAAAGAGAAGTGATTCTTATGGTTTAATAGTGATAAAGTATTCATCATCCAGCCTTATCCAAAATTTTATCTAGGCCTTTACATTAATCATAATAATAAAAATAATACCTAAAATGCAATAAACACTTATGATGGACCAGGTGCTAAACCAAGGACTTTATGTGTATTAAGTAATTAATCACCAAAACAACCCTAAGAGACAATATTACTCTCCACATTTTAGAAATCAATAAAATCAGATACAGAGAGCTTAGAACACTTTTCCAAAGTCAGAGTTTGTAAATGGTGGAGTTAGAGTTTGAATCCAGATATATATGAACTCTAGAATTCATGCTCTTATTCACTACATTCTCCTAACAAAAGTTAGGAAAAATATCAGGAAAATAATACCCCAAACACCATATCCAGAACTGTTATACATTTTCAATAATACAATAGATCTTTATGGCCACATGAATTTCCCATTTTCTAGGATGACTCAAAATACTTCTGTGTAAATTCTGTGGTTTAAGAGTCACTGACTCTTGCCATCCTTGGCTTCTAAAAAATTACTCTACACCCTGACCTAAAATCAATTTAAAATACTCTTGGGAAAATATGTTAAGTATGAGTGACCAGCAGGATGACTAAGATATTAAAGTGTCTCTTATTGTAGAATGTGACCAAAAAGAACTATTAGGCATATAGACCTAGACAAGCCTTTGACATATATCTGTCCCTTGGCTCTTTTGCACATGGGGTTTTCATGCTATTTCAAGAATACCTAACTCTCTCAAAGCAGTTTCCCAACTGCTGAAGATCATGTTATATTCTGGATCTTTTCCAGCCACAGCAAAACTTATCACATCAACACATACCCACATCAATCAAAATGTTCCCTGTATTTATTAAACAGCTCTGATGGGTTTACAAAAAAGACAGACTATGGGTCTTCACACTTGGGGGTTATAATCAGGTACATCTAAACTATGAAATTCTGGAGAAAAGGTCTTCACCCAGAGGGGTGGTTTTAATGACCATGAGTTTAGAACTGATACAGTCCTCTAACAAAGAAGGTACTTCCTAGGTAGGTAGCATCACTATTATATACATGTAAGAATACCCTTGTATTTTTTTCCTATCTGCTTTTTCCCAAACTGTTCTAGATTTTTTTAAATTGTGCTTCTTACCCTGCATCTGAGCCATTTCCACAGAGTAGAGGGTCCTTTTGTCCATCCAAAACATAAAAGTGACCTGTTAATATAAAGAATAAACTATTTCATTTCATATCTGTCCTACTGACTTTGGGAATAAATGAGAGCTTGACTGTCTCAGTTATTTCCAAAGTGGACACAATGAGGTATATTTACAAAAATAGTTTCAAGCCCACAGCCTCAACTATTTATAGTTGAAAATTCAGCAACACTAAGGTTAACAATGTAGCAATATTTCTTACTGTCATCTTCAATATAATCCTTCCAGTTAAATGTACTCATTGTTATATTAACAAATATCCCATTTGAATCCATTGTGCCATTAAAGTAGGATGTGGTGTTGGTTTCAAAAGCAGAATCGCTTGGGGGCCATTGCAAGCATTTATTCCGCAGGTTGCCCATGAACAGCTGCAGACCAATTAGAGCAAACACGCTCAGACAGAACACAGTCAAGATCATGACATCAGAAAGCTTCTTCACGGACTGGATTAGGGCCCCTACAATGGTCTTTAAACCTGAGGAGAGACAGCAATAGGTCATCCAAGGAAGAGTGTCATAATCTGTAATGTCTTCTTAGTCACACACATTCTCTTTTCCCATAAATGGTTGCCTGGCTATTTAGACACAAAGCTTTATGGATAGCCAGATGGTTTGGGAAATGGATGAAAAGCAGATTTTATTTATGAATAGTATGTTTTCTGGAGGTTTAAAATGAAAGTGTAAATATCTAGGCAGGAAGCTTTTTTGTGTGTGTGGTTTTATGTGTTGTCATGAACATCTAAAGAAGAACTTGCAGTTATTTTTCACATCAGATTGTGTTTCATGAGGCATTTCCCTTCAACCCATTCTTTACACCAGCCTCTAAGTAACAATAATTCAGAGGAGAAAAGAATTTTAAAATATTAAATATCCTATGCCATGCTGTTCAAGAATAATCTTTTCTCCTTTATAAAAGGAGATCTATTTTCATAATAGATCTGCAGTGAATGGGAAACCCAAGTAAGTTAGTAAAGGCATGGTAGTAAAGCTTTTTCCAGATTGTAAAAGAGAAAACTTTACATCATAAATGCAAAAAGAGAGAGAAAGCATGAGAGAGAGAGTGCACACACGTGCACAAAACTAGTATTTTTATAGACAACTCATGCAATTCTCTGTTAAACTCAAAGGCTGACTTTATAAATAAGTATGTAATTTCTAAACTTTTAGGAACCGAACTGCTTTGAAACATCATTTGACATTCTTGAAGTTGACAAACAAGAATAATACACAACAAGTCTAATGACCTAAGTGTGATTTCAACCTAACTATTATTACAGTGTATTTAAATTCAGCCCCCGTGTTTAACCTAGCTCTCACCTGGAATGACTGAAATTGTTTTCAGTGCTCGGAGAACTCTGAATGTTCTCAGCGCTGAGACATTGCCCAGGTCGACAAACTCTGTCACGTATCTGTAATAGGGAGTTCACACACAACACAATAATACACAAGAAAAGTTGGAGATACAAGGAGCCTATCATCTTACACCAGTTTCTTACCTGGAATTACAGAAATAGTTTTCAGAGCTCTCAAGACTCTGAAAGTTCGAAGGCCTGAAACATTGCCTAGGCTTACAAATTCTGTTACATACCTGTAGAATTAAATCAGAGTTACTGATAGTTTTGGCAAAGTTTATACTAAATAAAGAATGAAAGTTGGGTTTGGCGTATAGAGCCCCTTGAGTTTAACAAATGGAATTGCTATAGACCTAAGGATGCCATATGTTGAAAACTGCTTTTAAGGAATAAAATTTTGTTGTCTTATTTCAGTGTAATTTTCACTAATATGAACAAGTTTGTTTGTAAGAAATCAAAGTACAGTTGGAGGTATTATGCTCAATGAATAACTTCATTTTGATGAAATGGAAGACTAAATGACATGAGAGTAATTGTTTAGTGCTCACTTACCAGATAGATTTACCTTACTATATGTATTCTAATGTGTATTCTCAAAATATATGAGGCATATGGTTAATTTGGCTAATAAGCAAACTCTGCATTTAAAATATGTCACAACCACCTGGTTTGTGCTACAACTATTTTCATTCCTTTGAGCTTAACAACTTTTCAAAAATACTCACGCCATCACAATGACACTGAAATCCAACCAGTTCCATGGATCACGAAGGAATGTAAAATCTTCTAAGCAAAACCCTCTTGCCAAGATTTTTATAAGTGACTCAAAGGTGTAGATTCCAGTGAATGTGTACCTAGGAAAAGCATCCAAATAAAAATTAACATTTTCATTTGAGCTGTTAATATACATGGTTTCAAATATGGCAAATCTTATCCTTTTGTGGTTTTTTAATTTGCTAAAATCTTATTTCATATTTCCATTTACAAAGACTTGACTTGTCTAATTAATCTTATAAGCCTGAGTAAAAGGTTAAACTGAAGAAATAGTATCTTCCCCAAAGAATCTGATCTTGTTTAACTATTTAGACTCTAGAATAATAGTTGCATGTGTTTTATGGATAATGATCAAGCTTGACCCTCTAGGAGCAACACTGTTTGATTAAAATATAACAGCTAGGGTGCCTGGGTGGCTCAGGTGCCTGGGTGGCTCAGTCGTTAAGCGTCTGCCTTTGGCTCAGGTCATGATCTCAGGGTCCTGGGATTGAGTCCCACATCAGGCTCCCTGCTCCACGGAAAGTCTTCTTCTCCCTCTCCCACTCCCCCTGCTGTGTTCCCTCTCTTGCGTTTTCTCTCTCTCTGTCAAATAAATAAAATACAGTCTTTAAAAAATATATATATATAATACAAGCTAAATATGTAGTTTTCAAATTTTCAGTAGCCAAATAAAAAATGAAAAACAAGTTAATTTGTCACATTATATTTTATTTAAACCAATGTATCAAAAATATTATTATTTCAACAACTAAGACTAGCCAAATTTCAGATTTCACATGTGGCTAGTGTCTCCCTTATTAGACAATATAGCTCTAGAGGTGAAATTTCTTGGATTTATTTATTTATAATAAGATATTTCATTCAAATTTATTAATGATTAGAATTATTTTTAGACATATTTCCCATGTCTAATCTAGAAAATATGCTTCCCCTTTTTATCTTTAAGAGTCAGGCATAGAGTTTTAAAACTGCTTATCTCGTATATATCTACACAAGAAAAATTGTAATTTATTAGTATTTTATGTGTGTGCATTCACACAATTACCAAAACTCATAGCAAAACCAAATTTCTGATTCTTACCTGCATCAGCTACCATTTCTATACAATTGAGCCAAATCATTTAAACATGGTTACGTTCAAATTTCAACCTCCAAAATGGTGAAAAGCTTTTCCATTTACTGTTTGATATATAGTGCATTTCTAGCCCTCTCTCCTTTGAGTGTCGACAATATTATTTCTGTTTCTTCCAAAAATAGTTGAGAAACAGTACTTGTTTTTCAACATTGTGTTCTTTTAAAGAGTGCAATTTAAGATTATCCTTCAGATTATTTCACCCAGGCCACAAAGATTTGATTTACTCATATTAAAATTAATTATATTTCCCACCTACTCATATTTTATATGTGAATAAAGTTAGGAGAGTTATTTCTGCATTGTTCTCTGCAGAAATTTCTCTCATATGGGGGAACAAAGAAATAAGAAGAAAATCTATGCAGCAATCTTCACATCAAGTTCTTGGCCTTTTGGCTAAGATCAAGTGAAGTTTTCCTAAGAACATTTCTCCTCCTTTTTAAAAGAATTCAGTTGACTTTTTGAGAAATAAATATAATTACTATCTTTACTTATTATGAAGTAGCTGACCTCTTTAGGAAAAGATATAATTTACAATGCCAAACTTATATTTACTTGTGTTTTAGTGTGGGCCTTTGCACATTACACATAATCACCATGACATTTCTGTTCAGAGATAGCTACCTTATGAAAAGCCATAAGAGACAGCTCAGTGTACATTTTATTTATCACATTAATGGTTAATTCCCTATGGTCTAAGCTTAGGCAATTCTGAGTTATCTAAGATTAAAGTCCCTACTGCTATCCCTGTTTTTGTTGATAGCTATCCAAAGAAGAGTGTCCTGGAGCTTAACATGTGAGACAGAGCTTTGCCCAGGACAGGTGTTCATAAGTGCTTATTAGCAAACTAGATTGAACAGGTAAGTGAGAATCAAAGGAACTTGATCTTTCTTAGCTCTGCCCCACTAGGCCCCTAATCATACTTTTGATTCTGTTCATGTCACTCAGGTTTTTTTTCCCTGTAATTATGATGTCTATAGATCTGCCTGCCTTTCATAACATGACCCTCACTATACCATATGGTCCTCAGCCTATTCTGTGCATATCACCTCTTTGTACCAGGACTGTTTATGCTGTCAATGACCTGTTTTCATGTCAGAACTGAGTTCTTTTTTCTTTGCACTCTTGTTTATTTGGTTTGGCTTGTTGGCTGTAACCACTAATTTTGCTTATTTTCCTGCTACTTTGCTGTCAAGTGATAAATGATCCTCATAAATGATTGGGAAACCTGTGCAAAGTTTTCCCACTGAATGAAGTCAAAAACCTTTTGTAGGGGTAAGAACATTTTCATAATGGATGTAGTTATCTCTGAAAATGACTTTAAAAAGAGAGACCTGCTGGGGGGGCCTGGGTGGCTCAGTAGGTTAAGCATCCAACTCTTGATTTCGGCTCAGGCCACGATCTCAGTATCGTGTGATTAAGCCCCACGTTGGGCTCTGTGCTGGATGTGGAGCCTGCTTAAGATTCTCTCTTCTTTGCCCCCCCCAACTCTCTCTCTCTCTCTATCTCTAAGAAAGGAGAGAGACCTGCATATTCAAGTAATAATATGCAAACGTCCTCTTTACCTATCTTTTAATAATATTATAGAAATGAGATTTGTATATGGTTAAATGCTGCAGTAATTTCTTCTAGGAAGAGTACATATAGAATGGTTTTATATGTCCATTTGTTAATCCACAAATCGTAAATGATAATTAAGAATTCTGTTAAAGGGGCACCTGGGTGGCTCAGTTGGTTAAACCGCTGCCTTCAGCTCAGGCCATGATCCCAGGGTCCTGGGATCGAGCCCCACATCGGGCTCCCTGCTCATACAGGAAGCCTGCTTCTCCCTCTGCCTGCCGCTCCCCCTGCTTGTGCTTTCTCTCTCTCTCTCTCTCTCTCTCTCGCTCTCTCTGTGTGTCAAATAAATAAATAAAATCTTTAAAAAAAAAAAGAATTCTGTTAAATTGCTTGCCTCATTTAGTAGAGAACTAGATTCTCTACTAAAATGATTTCTAAGGAACATTTCCCAGCTACTATAAAAAAAAAATATTTAATGTGTGAAACTGACAAATGATGGCTTAGGATAGTGCATTAAATCCTCATAGAGGCCTATAAAAACAGAATTAGAAGTGGCAATATTTGTCATAACTTATCTCCTATTGGATATTACTTTTAAAAAATATGACAATAAAAAGAACGTGCTAGAAACTTTTTTTCACTAAACCTTATCATTGTATTATACAATACATAAATAGCCTACATAACCTAAACACCTTCTGTTTCACTAAATAATGTTTCTTTGTCATGAATAGCCTCATATGTGACTGATAACTTAAGGAATAGTGTTGTTATAATGCAGAAATTATGTTACTTAATGCAAATATTTCCCCAGAACGTTAATGTTCTGAATCAATTAGTGGCATCTTTCTCCTCACACTTAAATAAAACATCCTTAGTGTTAAAGGAAGACCTTAGTGATAATGAACAGAATTGACATATAAGAGCCTTTTTTAGTGGAAGCAGGAGCTAGATTAACATGCCCAAGAACTATTGTGCTTAGACCATTTCCTTTGTATTAAAATAATAAATAAGTGTATTATTTTGATGACATGATAGAAATGTCCCCAGGTCTTCATCTTAAGTGAGAAAGGACAAGCAAGGCCTGGAGTCTGAGACTCCAAAGGAGTCTCTGGCTGTGATTTTAGGTACAAATGTCTGTAGAGCTTTCACTAGGCCAGTATCTTTTTATTGGGATTGTTATGGTTTTTATTAGTGTTCTAATTACAAAGTTTCATAAGTTTTGAGTGATCTGCTCTTAATCATGTTTCCCTTTAAGCCCTGTTATTTTTTGAGCTATGATTTTGTAGAGAGGTTTTATTTCTTTTATGGAACACATCTGTGGTGTTTGAGCACACATGCTGTGTCTAAATAAACTACATATCTAAATATAACTAAATATCTAAGTTACTTAAACACCTAAATGTGTTTTCCTGAATATAATGATATAACATATAACCAAAATACCTAATATAATAATATTGTGCTAAACACCTAAATCTGTTGTATAAGAATATGACAATAATAGTAATATATTAGAATAAGATAATTTTATTCATCACATTACTCAAATGGCCATCGTTTTTTTTTTTTTAAGATTTATTTATTTATTTGAGAGAGAGAATCCTCAAGCAGACTTCCTGCTGAGCGCAGAGCATAGGCTCCCTGAGATCATGACTTGAGACGAAATCAAGAGCCAGGTGCTTAACCAACTAAGCCACCCAGGTGCACAAAATGGTCATTTTTTTTTTTTATCTAAAATGCATGACTATGATTGAATCTTAACTTTTATCAAACTAAATACTAAATCAAACTAAAAACTTGAATCAAGCTAAATGATTGGTTTAGTTTACCAGCTAGTGTATATACTATTTATAACCTTTCTTAAACAGATACTATCATGAATTTGTTGGAAAGAATACTTACCTCATAGAAGAGAAACTCCCCCAAAGAACTTCCCTTATCTTCTTTCGTGTTATGGAAAGAACTTTTTCTTAGAAGTTTTTAGCCTGACTCCAAAAAGTATAAAACTTGTCAGACCATAACCATAAGGCGATTGCTAGAGAATTTGAGTGTGCATTTCTCATTCAAAGAAGTCATTCCTACTTACTCTACATTCTTCGTCCAGTCTGGAGGGTTACTCAAGGTCATAAATACGCAGTTGGTCAAAATAGTGCACATGATAAGCATGCTGAATAAAGTAGATTATAGTTAAGGAATAAATGCTAGTGTATTATCATGGCCATTTACAAACAATCCAATGCCAAAAAAAAATCATCAAAGTTACCCGTGAAATTTGTCTTATATGTTTTAAAACAATGGCGAAAGTAATAAGAAACTTCAAAGCCTATCATATGTTCTTGGTCTACTCTTTTTCATTTTACATGAAATGTAAAATTTCACAGAACTGAATTTAATGGAAAGAGATCTCTATTTTAAGCAGTGGGAATTTTGCATTCCAATCAGTTATGTGAAATAACACTGCAAGGGGAAATGACCATTCTTTAGTAAGTTCACAATATAAGTGTAAATTGTAAAAAATTAAATGTAATTATATCTGAAGTTGTACTTCAGATATGATTTAAAATCAGCACTGGCTGACAAAATGTTAATGAATACAATATAAAAACCCTGAGAATGTATACCCCAGTATATTCAAGGATTACATTGAATGAGAATTCTACTGTAATTAGGTACTCTTAATAGTCTTATTGTGATGTGACTCATTCTTTTAGTGTTGATAAAAGAAGAGTAAAGGGAGAGAGAATTTTTTGCTGATAAGTTAATATTGTTTTCTAACTTTTTATTTTTACTTTAGACTGTGGGGGAACTTAGTGGGCCATCTAGATATCCTTCTGTACCTAGTCCACACCATACCTAACAGATAAATGCTATTTTGTAAACTTCCTGAGAATTAGCTGTAATTAAGTTCTCTTAGGATCTCAATCAGACTTCACTCTAAGGAAGATTATGATTATTTAAGGGTGAATTTTTATTTAAAAATGTAAATGTTTGCTTATATCAAACCACAGAATGAAAAGAATTCAAATGAACCTCAAAAAGTTCAGTCCTATTTGCTGTATCTCTAGGTTAACCAGTCTTTTTTCTCTCTTTTAGTTTTTATAAGGCTTTTTTAATCTATCTATATAAAATTCCCATTCTTGATTAAAGACCTAAATGTGAGACAGGAAACCATTAAAATCTAGAGGAGAACACAGGCAGTAATCTCCTTGACATCAGCCATAGCAACTTCTTACTAGATAATGTCTCCTGAGGCAAGGGAAACAAAAGCAATAATAAACTATTGGGTCTTTATCAGAATAAAAAGCTTTTGCACAGCAAAGGAGACAATCAACAAAACTAAAAGGCAAACTACAGAATGGGAGATTATTTGCAAATGACATATCTGATAAAGGATTTGTATCTAAAATGTATAAAGAGGTACAGGTCACAGAAACAAATAATACATTATATGTTAAAAAAAGAAGATAATAGGAAAGGAAAAATGAAGAGGGGGAAATCGGAGGGGGAGACAACCATGAGAGACTATGCACTCTGAGAAACAAACTGAAGGTTCTAGAGGGGAGGGGGGTGGGGGATGGGTTAGCCTGGTGATGGGTATTAAAGAGGGCATGCACTGAATGGAGCACTGGGTGTTATATGCAAACAATGAATCATGGAACACTACATCAAAAACTAATGATGTAATGTATGGTGATTAACATAACATAATAAAAAACAAAAACAACAACAAAAAAAAGAAAAAAGTGTATAAAGAACTTACAAAACTCAATACCTAAAAAAACAAATAATCCAATTAAAAATGGACAGAAGATATGAATAGACATTTTTCCAAAGATGACATACAGATGGCCAACAGACACATGAAAAGGTGTTTGACATCACTCATCATCAAGGAAAAACAAATCAAAACTACAATGAGATATCACCTCACACCTGTCAGAATGGCTAAAATTAACAACACAGGAAAAAACAGTTGTTGTTGAGGATGTGGAGAAAGGGGAACCCTCTTACACTCTTGATGAGAATGCAAACTGGGGCAGCCACTCTGGAAGACAGTATGGAGGTTCCTCAAAAAGTTACAACTAGAACTGCCCTAGGACCCAGCAGTTGCACTACTAGGTATTTACCCAAAGGATAAAAAAATACTGATTCAAAGGGGCACATGCACCCTGATGTTTATAGCAGCATTATCAACAATAACCAAATTATTGAAAGAGCCCAAATGTCCATCAACCGATGAATGGATAAAGAAGATTGGTAGGTACACACACACACACACACACACACACACACACACACACACACACTGGAATATTACTCAGCCATCAAAAGAAAGAAATCTTGCCATTTGCAATGGTGTGGATGGAGCTAGGGTGTATTATGCTAATCGAAATAATTCAGAGAAAGACAAATACCATATGATTTCACTCATTTGTGGAACTTAAGAAACAAGACAGATGAACATAGGGGAAGGGGGAAAAAAGAGGGAAGGAAACCATAAGAGACTCCTAACTATAGGACTGATGGAAGGGAGGTGGGTGGAGAATGGGCTAGATGGGTGATGGGTATTAAGGAGGGCACTTGTGTTGAGCACTGGGTGTTATATGTAAGTGATGAATCCCTAAATTCTACTCCTGAAACCAGTATTACACTATATGTTAACTAACTAGAATTTAAATAAAAATTTGAAAAAGAAAAAAATGATAACATATCACAAGAAACAAATGGTGTCGGCAAGGATGTGGAGAAAGGGGAACCCTTTTACACTGTTGGTGGGAATGCAAACTGGTACAGCTGCTCTGAAAGACAATATGGAGGCGTCTCAAAAGGTTAAAAATAGGACTACCCTACAATTCAGCAATTGTACTACTAGGTATTTATCCAAAGAATACAAAAATACTAATTCAAAGGGATACATGCACCCCAATGTTTATAACAGCATTATCTACAACAGTCAAATTATGGAAAGAGCCCAAATGTCCATCAACTGATGAATGAATAAAGAAGATGTGGTGTGTACACACACACACACACACACACACACACACACACACGAATATTAGCCATAAATAAGATTGAAATCTTGCCATTTGCAACAACATGGATGGAGCTAGAGGATATAATGCTAAGTGAAATAAGTCAGAGAAGGACAAATACCATATGATTTCACTCATGTGTGGAATTTAAGAAACAAAACAAATGATCATCGGAGGAAATAGAGGCAAACCAAGAAATACACTCTTACCTACAGAGAACAAACTGATGGTTACCAGAGGGGAGGTGGGTGGGAGATGGATTAAGGAGTGCATTTGTGATGAGCACTGGGTGTTGTATGGAAGTGTTGAATTACTAAATTGTACACTTGATACTAATATTACACTTTATGTTAAATTAATAGGAATTTAATTAAATAAAAACAAAAAAAATGCCCATTGTTAAACACAGCCTCTGAATACCTTTCTATTTTATCATTACTTGTTGGAGAATTTTCTTGAAATCCATACCCATTCTGTCTTTGTATGGTTTTTGACTATCGTTGTTAGTCTTAAGTTCAGTGATTTTTGAATATATATTATCAGATATATAGGCACATATATAGTTTAAAAAATAGTAAAGGAAGGAAGGAAAAACAGACCCATGTGCTGAAGATATAGAACCAATTAAGGCATAAAAGTGTGAACATTTGGTAACATAGATAATAATACTAACCACAATAGGCTTCATTTCTTTAGCAATAGTTATGTATGGTCTAGAGGATAATAAAAGTGTGAAGTAGATTTGTTGTTGTTCCTTCTACATGGTATGTTTCATTTACATGTTCACTAACATAGTTCATTTTTACTTTTAGAATCATAATAGTTATTCTATGCTAATCTTTTTATGAATGGCAGAAGAATCAATGAGAACAGATTAAATAATGTCACCATTAATCTCAAAGAAATTATATATAATATATAAAACAGTATATGTAAAATATAAATATACAAAAATATATATAGAAGAATGACATTTTCTATAAAATCAAGTACAAGCATTCAGTCACATGAAAAGGATATGAATGTACCAAAATCTTAATAGCAATTTTCCTAACAGGATTTAGTGGAGTTAAAATATACAAGGCAGAGGTGGCACTGAATCGGAAAATTGCCTTCCCTTTATTCAATACTATAAAAGTCTGAAAAAGAAAATATGAAAAAAAAATTACTAGATCAGACATGTGGCTTACTTGAAGAGCTGAAACACATGAAGAACTTTTCACCTGATTTGTTTATTCAAACTTGTTTGTTTAAACAAGTGGTATATTGTAACTATAAACATGTTAGATGTTTCTCCCCTAAATTAACATATAGCTACAAATAAACATTTGATTTACTATTATCTAATTTGTCTCTAGAGTTCCAACTTTCTGATACAAACTGATGATCCTACACAAAATTTTTTATCAAATTGTAACTTTACAGACTCCAATTTTATTTAAAGCTTACCATCTGTCTCCAGCTTTGGAAACTTTTTCAGATTATTCTGTACATATTGCTACTAAAATAATCTTTTTTTATTTTAATTATTTCAAGTCTTTGAACCCTAAAGTTTATGAAGCCTATTCTCCCTATGGTAGTTGTCCTACTTTAAAATGTTCAAACAAGCTGAATAACCTGGTTTTGCTGATTCTATATATCTGCTGGTAATACTGAGAAGGGACAGCTGCATTGAGAATTAGGATTAAATACATCATTTCAAAGGGCATTTTGTGGCTAAAATTCTATGAATTGAAACCTATAATCAATTTAGCATTTAAGCCATGCTACCCAGTAATTACCCACCACATCTCTCTAGGATCATCTTTTAGTTTTGCTCACTAAGGCATCTCTGGTCCAACCAATTCAGTCCACTTGTCAATTCCACTCATAACCTGTTAGCTTCCCCCTCTGATTCTGAAAATGTGTCATAAAATCCTAGAGGAAGGAGGTAACTGAGAGGTCATCTAATATAAACTCCCCCCATTTCAGTTCTATACCGGGCCTGACAATGAAGTCCCACCAACTATTATATCAAAGGTTATTAGTCCTCTCTGCATATTAGAATCTCTTGAGGTGATTTTAAAATTGCCAATATTTGGGTCCTACTCAAAACCAATTGAATCAGAATTTCTGGAGGATGGGCACAGACATGGGTATTATTTTAAAAATTTCCTTAGGTAATTCTAATATGCAGCCAGGGTTGAAAAGCCCTACTCTCAGAAAATGTCCTCAGCTATCAAAATCACCTCCTCCATCATGTCTTTCCAGATAAATCACTGCCTTCTGCTCACTCCCTAATTGTTTCCCTTTACCAGTAAGTCTTAGTGTATTAATTTGCACACATTGGCATGTTGCTTGTAATTACAGTCAAGTAGCAATTTACATGTAGGGTTCATTCCACTGAAGACTAGGTTAGAAGTTGTTATAAATTATTGAGCATAAAAGCCTGTAATCTACTTTTTCTTCATTTTTTTTCACAGTATTTAACAGTGTGGTTTGTAAATAAATACTTGTTTTAATTAAGTGCAGGCTTACCTTTAAAATGCCATTTACCTTTAAGACATCAATATATCATTTGCTTAATAATATGTTTTTACTCTTAAACTAAGGGCTGTATCCCATATAATCATGTTCACTGACAACATGGTAATGTTTGAATAGGTAGACAGAAATATTTATATTTTGAGTATAAAGGACAGAGAAAACAATTTCTCCGTACATGGCCCTTTCGTATTCAAGACCATGGAGCCAAGCATTACCTAGCCAACCGTTTTCCATGAACTGCAATCTATAAATTTGAACAATTCTATAAGGAGGGCAAGTAAACATTTTTACTAGCATTGAGATAGATCATCCATAAGGGGCAGTGGATATTGGGAAAACTGCCCTTGAAGCACAAATGCATTAAAGGATTTTCTTGAATTCACAGGATTAGATCATTTAATATTACAAACAGTCTAGATCCATTTAGGCATTCAATGACGTAAAGTTCACAATAATTTAAAGTGCATTTACTCATGCTTTTGTAAGGCAATTTCCCTGAAAAAGCAGTTACCACTTGTAACATTAGGAGAGGAATTTATTTTGAAAAATCTCCAATAACAGCGTGACAGGAATGAACTGTCCCTTTAAACATGGAATCCTCTGCTCTCCCGAAAGATTAGCCTTCTTGGAACTAATGGGATTAAAAATGACATGCCAAGGGCATATTCATTGAATTTGCAGGTTCTGGAACACAGCAGGCCTTAAGAACACAATTTCAGTTTTTTTCTGGGGAACACCACCAAACACAAAACCTTGAGTTCTGAGAAATGAGGAATAAAATACTAATATTCTGTACAGTGAAAGAATTAGAAGGAAGACACTTGAAATTTGGGACTCTGAGGTTATTGAGAGATGTACCTAAACTGAAAATTATTGGAGAGAGTGACAGATAATTGGAGGAGGGATAAATAGTGTCAACTCCAAAATCTGGTCTCCAAGTAATGATAAATAATGATGTGACTTAAAAAAATTACTACATATTGATACTAAGGTGATGAAAGTTATAGCTAAAAAGTATGGCAAACTGGTTGTGGTTCACTCTGGAATGCTGCTTGCTTATTCCCAGATAAATATACATCTTATAGGTTCACTAAAATTTTTACTACTCAAGGCAAGAGTAAGATTCACATCTCTGAATAGGACCATATCAAGCAGAGAATTCAAAAAAGTATACAACCAATTTTTTAATGTTTTATTTTATTAATGCCAAATATAGTTTTGCTTAGTAAATAAGAGCTCTGACTGCCTGGGTTCAATCCCTGAATTTACCACTTATGGAGTGTGACTTGGGCAAGTTACCTAACCTCTCTGGGTTTGACATCCCCATGTGTAAAATGAGGCTAACATAGTACCTGCTTGACTGGTTCTTGGAATATTAAATGAATTATGCCACTTAAAGCACTGAAACAGTGCCCGACAAAGTAGGAGCACAACAAACGTTAGCTATTATGATTATCACTGTCACTATTCTTCAGCTATTACCTGGTCAATTTAAACACTATTGAAATACATTGTGATGTGGCTCATCTGATTATCTGATTAAATTAGGTATGTAAAATGTATCATAATTAATGGCAGCATACTGTTACATAATGCTTTACAGTTTTGAAGCGCCTTTCACCTGCATTATTCATATAATTAACATAAACTTCATACCATGTTTTTAAATTGCAGAACTTTTCCAGTAGCTTCTTAGCTTAGCTCCTTCAATCCTAACAATCACAAACTACCTTTTTCTTCAGTAGCACCTCAGTCTTCATGTTTATAGATACTTCACAAAGAAAAGCAATGCGCCAACAGTAAAAAGTAAATAGTCTAGATGTCTCCCAAGATGGACCATGGCCACAAGGAATAAATCAAAGTCCAAGTCTGGTTCTCAGACAGGGAGGTGATAAAAACTGACTTTGTTAGCACACATAGAAGAAGTCTGTTTCTTAGCAGCAGATGCACATTAACCAAGCCTGAAAGCCTGACATACAAAATCAGAATGCCAGTCTACTTATTTACAACGAGATGTATTACTGTCACATGGACTGAAATAATTGCAGTGGCAAAACCAGCATATTCTTTCCTTTCAAGCAGATCTTGTGGGGGGACAAATTATAATAAGGTTCTTTGCTGAGGGTGGAGTCCAAACGAGCTGACCTAATCAAATGCTGCACAATGTTTAATGACACCTCTGTTAGGTAGCCCAGTGTAGCCCCTCTCCAATGAAATGGCTTTGATTTGCGGAGGAAAATGCTTTCAGTGCTACTACTAAAGATCTGTTTCCCTTGGAAAATGCTGGTGTTTGTTTCTGTTATTCTCCTCACCCCTTAATCTTACCAATTTCCTTTCTTAAGGATATTTCCTTTCTTTAAGTAGCTAATACTTCTAAGCATGTCAGAGTAAGCATACCCCTGTCTCTTAAAGACATCTTTGCAAATACATACTTTGAATCAGTAATTTTAAGGAGAATTTTATTCTAGTTTCTTGGGGGATGTCTCACTGTCATCATCATGTGTAATAATACAGTAACTAAATTTTGAATTTTTCCTTATCACTTCTATAGTGGAGTACTGGAATAAATTACTTTTAAAAATATGTGAATCTATATTAAGTGCCACCTTCATGACACTAGTTTCAGAGGGAAAAGAAAGGGCCTGTTTAACTATTTAAATTGGTATTATGCCTTCTAGAAAGCATTTTAAAACTTGCTATTCCAAGTGTGGCCCGTGTATTATAGCAGCAGGAGTCTCGCTCGAGGACTTGTTAGAGATGCAGGATCTCTAGCCCCACCCAGACCTCTGGAATCTGAATCTGGATCTTAACAAGATCCGTAGGTGCTGTGTATACACATGCAAGTTTGAGAAGCCCTCCTTTAGGGCAGTAGGGCTGGTTCCACCTCTGGATGGTTAACTATTAGGTTCTTTACCCCTCACTGATCTTGTAAGATTAAATTGCGCGCTGCTTAGAGAATGCAATTTCCTTAACCATTCTTTTTAAAAGAACTGGCTCTGATTAATAAAGGTATTCAATATCTTCTTTAAACTACATACCATCAATTCATGGTGAGATTTATTTATCTTTAGTTTCTACATAGACCTGTTTTTATGCTTATGAATGTGAAATATAAATTGTGGTCATAAAATGCGAAAATACCCAATTAGATGATTCAGAATCTATCATCCATTTAAAAAAATATTTACTATAAAACTCTGCACAGCCGGTTTAACTTCAAAAAACTAGTTAATTCTGACAGAATTCTGTGGTTATTATAGCATTAGGAAGGCATAGTCATAACTTGATTCAAATCATATGTAGATAGAGAAAAGAGGGTTTTTTTGTCTTTTGTTCTTGAGGGTTTTTTTGCAGAGTGATGTTTTAACAATAAGTAGGTGTGACTGTGCTTGTCAATGTATTATCTTCCTATAGGAGGATGTTAAGTAAGATTATTACCCTCTAGAGTACAAATCTATTGTGAGGAAACCTCAAGCCAGTTAAGAACTAAAAAATAAGAAGTACATATGCCCATAAATCTTCTTTTGCATGTTCTTCTGTTGTCTACCATGTGCTTAAACATGTCAGTAATAATAGATATTTTACTTTGTAGGTGTCAATTTTAATTTTGACTCTCTCAGTTACTGTGAAATTGAAGAAATTGTTTATCTCTCATATCTCTTCACTGTAGCCAAATCTTGACATCATTTCTTATAAATGTTTCTGTTTATTATACTGTGTTTAAAAGTGGAAATAAAAAGTATAAAATCTTTAACCGTAGAAAACTTACGATGCAGTATGTATATGAGCCAGAGAAAAGTATATTAGTGTTTAATTAAGGACTTAAATTTGGAAATATAACTTAACTTTTGAAAGTATAAAATCAACACTCACTTTCTTATTGATATAGTATGGGTCCAGGTCCTCCAAGGGCTCTGACACCATCTCTGGAGGAATGTCTCCATAAATAAATGGAAGGTTCTTCCCAGCTTCCAAGTCACTATTTGGCTTTGGTTTGTTCTCGTCATCATTGTCTTGTTCTCTCTTGGGCTTTTTGGCTTTCTCTTCTGCAGCACGTTTTTCGATAGCAGCAAGAGATTCTCTAGTAAAAAGGCGGAAGCTTTCAGGCCCCGGGGGTACCAGCAGTGCCTGTGCCATCTTTTCATCCTGCACATTTAATTACGTTTAGCTTCTTGCATAAGAATTGCCTACCAAGAAAAAAAATGCATGAGAGTTAGGAAAGCAAGTGAGTGAGAGGGATTAAGAAAATCAGCCAAGATGTCATTTAATGTTTCTTCTGGTAATTTCTTTGCTAGTATATTAACAAATGAATATTTATTTTTGGTGAAAAAAATGGTTTCTTCTTCAATGCATAGACATCTTTTCTTTCTCAGTGCACAGTAAAAACATTTTACAATGTTCCTTTGGGGATTCATCTAGTAACTTTAAAAATATAAACATTTTAGTGCTGCACTACAGGTTTTAACCTGGGAGCATCATTATCCAATCTAATTTTCAATAAATCAATTTTATAAGTCTATCAAAGTCTGGTCTGAGACCTCTGAGCCAAAACATATTATAGTATACTTTGGTAAAAAGAGTAATGTCAGCAATACTTGTCAGTGAAATTACTTAAGGACCCATCATTCCCCCTGCCACTCCTTTTATTACATCTTACTAGCTCTTCAAATAAAGAAATACAGTCATATATGCCTGTCTCATAAAATCTTAGAATAGGAAAAGAAGTTTTGCCTAATCTAACCACTGTTCTGGTAATCAGCATCATCATCATTGACCACTGGTTCTCCAAACAAAGTCTGACCATCAGCAGTGACAGAGAAGTCAAAACTATTTTTTTCTTTTCTTTTTTTATCCAAAGACTTTGTTTATTTGAGAGAGAGAGAGAGAGAGCAGGAGCAGGGGGGAGGGGCAGTGGAGAGGGAGCAGCAGACTCCTGCTGAGCGGGGAGCCTGACGTGGGGCTCAATTCCGGGACCCTGAGATCATGACCTGAGCCAAAGGCAGAAGCTTAACCGACTGAGCCACCTAGGTGCCCCCCAAAACTATTTTCTTTCAGCTTTTCACCCTGGATCCTTCTGAAGCATCTTCTGAGGCAATGCAGAATGTATTTCCTTTTCCAGTCTGTTGTTATTCAACTATTCCAAGACACTTTTGATATTCTTTCTGAATCTTCCATTTGGTGTAGTGGTTGGAAGTATGGACTGTGGAGCTAGACTCTCTCTGTTCTTAACCCTGGCTCTGTCATTTATGAGCTGTATGACTTTGCAAAAGGTAACCCCTTAGTGCTTCAGTCTCCATTTATAAAATGGGGATGCTATGAGAACTGACCTCCCAGATTATCATAAGGAATAAATGAATTAATTTACATTAAGTGTCTAGAATAGTTTTGGAATTAATAAGCACTGTGTTGGTGTCAGCTATCATCATCTAATTATTTTTCGTTCCTTCAGCTATTTCCTCTGTTGTGGTTTCAGGCATTCTCAAAATTCAAGCCACTCTCCTTTAAGTAAGGCCCTGACCTGGTGGAACCACAGCTGACCATGGAATTCTGGGAGTGGGCTAGGAAGTACCAAGTACAGGGGCGTATTCACGCATGCCAAGCAACTGTCTGGGATTAGAAAGGAAGTAAGTCAGATACCTGCTCAATTCTCCAGGAAAGGTAAAAAAAATTCTGCTAGACATGTGACAGAACTGTCAAAAATACAAGAAACCCAGGCTGGTTTCTTGTATTTTCTTGTATTTTGAAATATAAGTTAATGGTTATTTTATTTTGCATTGTGCCAAAAATCACATTTAAAAAATCAGGATAGAAAATAGAAACAATAACAACAAAATACAGTGAATACATCACTCTCTTATAGAACAGTCTACAACCATGACATCAGGGTAATCATCAAAGTCACCTGTGACATCTTCCCTATCCCAACCACCCACCCCATCTCTGCCCCCACACTTATTCTGGTCTCCATAGTAGTTTATCCCTAAATGGCTTTTTAATTCTTAGCTGTTTAGTGCATGGATATACTAAGCTTACAGACAATAGGAAACTCTAGATCTTACAGCAACACAAGAAAAATGATATAGACTAAAAATGATTGTAGATCATTATATATGTTTTTTGAGTTTATATCTGAATTACTAGTTCCCTGGTTTATTCCGATGACTAAAGTATTTTTAATAGCTGTGTCTTTTCATTGAATTAATATTTGTAATATGACATTGTTATATTTTCTGCTACTATGAAGGTATAAGTAAGTTATAAAATATCAGATGTCAAAAAGCTGTGCCATTTTTGGCACTAGCTCTGAAAAAGGATTTCTGATTTGTGGTGGGATGGGGCTTTTCTGTTTTTTTGTTTTGTTTTGTTTGTACTCCATCAGGTGAATTTAGAAGGCACAAAATAAAAAATCGGTTCTTTTTTAATAAAAATAGAATATTCTCAAACCTTCTAATTCAACTATTTATTTTGTGCCTTCTAAATTCATGGCAAATGGCACAAACTAGAATTAAAGTTTTTAGCCATTTTATGTCCATTTTGATGTCCACATAGCCCGACACTAGGCTGTATGGAAAAATCACATTTATATTTTTGAATGTGGAAGGAGTTTGCTTATTAACTGTGAGCCTTAGATACCCAGAGACATGTAATCTGCCTGTCTCTCATCACCTTTCATGAACTGAATGGATAAGGTTCTTACCAAGTGCTAAATGAAAATGAAACAGTATGACAAAGCTATCTTAAGACATTTCTATGAAACATGGTTGCTTTCTCACGGGAGAAGAAAGGTTACTTTTGTATTTGAGCATTTAGTTAAACTAATTTTTGTTTCTTTATTAACAATGGAATGAAAAACATGCAGCAATCAGATTCTGAGTTCTGGGTTCATATTGAGCCTGTCATTAACAGTTTGCTTATGACATTTAACTTTCCTCAACCTCAATGTCATTCAAATACCTTATCAGATATGTGGCAACACATTGCCCTAAAGAAATATCCAATTATATTCGTTTAACTGGACTTTCTTGATTCCTAAGTTTTAAAATGAAATTAGGTTAAAAATATCTAAAGTGAAGATATTTTTAATAATCTGTATAGATTATTTCTCTGAGATGACATGGAACAAGGTATCACAAAATTATAAAAACATATTTATACAGGAATAATTTTTTACCTTCCTGTTTACTTATCAAGGATTAGAACAAAGAATTTGAGTCTTGGTCAAAAAGAAGTAAAGAAGTCTCTGAAACTGCCACACTATTGTCTCTAAATTCTGAGGAGATAGGCCAGTTCCAGACTCTTGGCTTTTCCTCCAAGGTGAACGAAGGTTTGCCCAATATTTGGATAGGTTGAGACATTAAAAATCACAGTGAGGGGAGCTTCTCATGGCTTTTCCTGCAAGTTTGCTTTTTAGAAACATCTCATAGTTCCATGGCAGTTCTATTTTAATTTTTTCTTCTTCTTCCTTCTTGTTCTTTGTGAGCCTATTATATAGACCTCTTACATAATTTTATATTCCTATTAGAGCAGAGTTTTAAAAATTAATTCCTACTGATGCCTTGGTGTGAGATATATATTATTAATGAATATATGTGCATTATTATTTATTAAAATATATCAGATTTAATATGCCAAATTTTCTCCAGAACTGTCCTTGCAAGGACAAAAAAGATAAAAAAGGACCTAAGGAGATGATCTCTTTGATTAAAAACCAAGGTGTGTGTGTGAATGTGCATGGGTAGAGGAAATGCATTGCTGTTAATTAATAAAAATACTGTAGTTCAAAAAATCCTATTATAAGATGGACCACAGAATTTTAAACCTGGAAGGATTAGGATCATTTATTCAAGAAATATTTATTGAGGACTACTATGTATCAACTCTGTGTTTGGATTAACACCCATGGTCCCTGCTCTTAAGGAGCTGACAGTCCAGTGTGAGAGATGTGGACACAAATAATTATAATACAGCTGGTTATTGTCTGAGCTCCATAAATGGGAGCAGTTTGTTCTGCCCAGGGTAAGGGTGGGGAGGGAAGTTCAGGGACGTTTCCCTGAGGAAGTTTTATTAGACTAGTTGGGATTTGACCAACCCTCGTGGTGACAGTAGTTGGGACAAAGTTGGTAGGAAGACACATCAGTAGAGACATGTTAGACTGGGAGACAGTATATGCATGGGGAAAAGCAAGGAGGGCCTGGGAAGAACTAAGAAGTTCATTATGGGTGGAGACCAACCTGCTCAAAAGGGAGTGGTAAGAGCAAGGACTGAAACACTGGCAGGATATACTCACCAAAGGTCTTGTAAAGCACACTTAAGAAGCCATGGATGGGGAGTGATGGGATCAATTTGAAGATTAGAAAAATGGTGGCAGTATGAAGGGTAGACAGGTGGGCTGATCCTAGAGCAATGATTTTCAAACATTTTGGTTTCAGGATCCTTTTATACTCTTAAAATTACTGACAATGTCAAAGAGCCTTTGTTTATGGGGAACTTATCTATTCATATTTACCATATTAAAAATTAGATTTTATAACTTTTATTAACATAATAATAATAAGCCTTTGTATGTCTACATATAAAATATATTTTAACACAAATAACTATATTATCACAAATTTAAAAAAATGCCTTGAGAAGAAAGAATTTATTTTAAATTTGGGCAAATCTCTTTACTGTCTGGCATAATGGAATACAGCCAGAGTGTCTTATCTACTTCCAAGTTCAATCTGTTGAGATATGTTGTTTTGATTGAAGTACATGAAGAAAATCCTATATATATATATCTGTAGCTGGAAAAGGAAGGAGTATTTTACTTGTCTTTTCAGGCACTTGTGAATATTCTTTGATACACACCAAAACTCTGCAAATGATGATTTCCTGAATTAGTTTCAATGTGGATTCTGAAACTGTATCAGGAACTTTTTACTGATTTTGCCTTTTGGATGGATTTTGTACCTTCATGCATGGATCATTTGGAAAATATTGGCACAGTGTTTTGCAGATTTCCCCAAATTTGACAAATTTCATTAACATTCAAAAATCACATTTGGTAATATCACCATTAATCTCATGAGAAAAGTCATAATATATCGGGAGGCTGTCTAGTTCCCAGCGGCAGGTAAAAGTTTTCCAAAATTCCG